CATGATATAGTACCATACTTTAGACATTCTGTGTGTTTCGGACTCTATGCACCACTCAAAAGTTTGGTTAATTAATCATTTGCAATAATCGCTCCAGATTTCTGGATAGAAATCTAAGAAAAGCACTGAACGTTTAAATAGCTTTACGTCGCCATATTTTCATAAATATGCCTGCTGTCACTACCGGCGATATTGGTGACCTCATTGCCACCCCATTTTTTTGTTTGTATATTTTATTTTAAATTTGAATACACTGGAGGTTAGACATAATTGAACACCCAATATTATTTCATCAACCGATAGCTTAGTTCTATTTCAGAGTTTAGGATCAATGTCCAGTTCATTCTTAACTGTGTGAAGAGCTGTATTAATCAGAACATTAGTGTACAAAATTCTTACACTAAAACTAATCTTTTCCTCTCGTTTTCATTTCATTACATGAATTAGCCTAGAGTCTGATCGATTACTAATGGGACATAGTACTGATGCTAAATACTTTGACAGTTCATATGTTCGTCAAGTCCACTGTCGGCCTCATAGGGTACCTTTCTTTGTTAATTTTAATTCTTCTGGGATTGGTAGTTTTAGGTATTGAGTTAAACGATTTCAACTCACCCAGAGATAACTTCATTCAGCATAATAGGCCAGACGCAAATTATTTGATCTTATTCATAACCGTTTCTACAGGTTTCTTAATCTTCTCATCATATGGACCTGTTAATATAATTTCATATGTCCACAACTACTATTGTATGATTTTGCATATTATTACGCTTTAGACATTCCTCAAACTTTCTAAGGCTGTTATTTCTTGTTGTGATGGGTTATTTCTTCTGGTTGTCAGTGTCAGCAGACATTGTATCTATTTCGTTTAATCCTTTGCTAGTCGGAGAGAAAGTAACCTTCTAGATTGACAAAATGTTGATAATAGTACAGACGTATCTTCTTCCCTCTGCCTTCGAAAATCATCTAACCTTCATATATATCAGGCTTATGAGTTCTGCTGTATAGTGTTAACTTCCCAGGAAAGCTAATGGTAAGTATTTTGAACAGTTCCGTTTACACCTACAAATATTTATCATCTTCTGAACGGCGAGCAACCACTCATTCCTACTCTCTAAATTTAACAAATTTAAAACTCATGAGAATCATTGTTTAACCTAAATATTAAAATATCAATCTTCAATCACCTGGATGTATGTCCTGAAGCTGTACTGAGAAGTCGTGGCCAGTAGGGTCCATCAAGTCAAACTGAACTGGATATTCATCGAAGATGCTGGTAGAAAGTAGCGCTAGATCAATCATTTACACAATTTAAGTGGCCAAATAGTCAACGAGCCTGTGCACTTAAAAAGTGAAAGTTGCAGATTCAGTTAATGGTTGGGTCAAGGGTGTGCATTGCTGAAGAGTTCCGAACGGTTCAATGTTCTCTGATTTTCAATGATCTCTAATTTATATTCCTTCTTGAAGAAATTTTTTCTTTTTATCTGTCATTATTATTCCGAGTGAATAGCAATTCTTTCCGATAACCAACAAGTGATGAGTATACTCAGTCTGTTTTATTTCATTTCTTTTGGGTCAGTTTGATTGATTATTTTTGAAAAGTTGGGGTCACCGATGCCAAAACATAATTTAATATCTATAGGAAGTTCAATTAAGTCACATCAACTTTTTAACGAATGATAACTTTGACGAAAATTTAAACCATTTGAGAAGTAGAGATCATACTATTACATAAAAATTCCTCATTGTTATGAATATTGTTACTGATATTTTTTCCATTAAGTTCCAATTGGAATATGCGGACAGCTTCAACGGGACGTTTTCGTTTCCCTCTCTTCTCCGTCATCACTTACTACTGGCTTCACGACTGCATACAAACTTTCAGTTCTTTTTCACATGATCTTCTTGATGTCACCATCGGACATTCAACCCACTGTTGCACTCAACAGCCTGCCTGGTGTGTAGTGCTGCTCAACAGTCTCTTCACTGTATGTCTGATCTATTTCCATGTTTATTTGTTGAGTATTGGGTTCTCGGTCGGTTCCTTGTTGCTTAACCTTTCTGACCAGCCATCTAATTATTCTTCAGAGTGGAGTCACTAGTGGCTGGTGTTGATGAAGGTCTACAATAGTCTGTTGTAAATACTTTTAGTGAGGCGCGTCTCTGAAAATTCGGATCTTGTTTACATCACTATACTGATTTAAAAGTAATAAAAGCTTATCTTGCTTTTCAGATCCGATCCTGACTGGATTTGATGTTGTCATCCGTCTCAATTGTGGTAGAAACGATACTGTCCAGATAAATGAAAAATTAGGTTTCGCCTAATAACGATGATTGTTGCTGTTAGTCGTGGTGCATCTTCATAGATAATGACTAATACATACATGTGAAGGAAAGAACCAATAGAATCAACGAGTATCGAACAGCTAATTCGTCTCTTGGAACCATGCCATCAACTAACCAGTACATATTAGTTACTGGATTCGAGATTATATTCGCAACGTTCTACTAAGACATTGTAGTTAATGGAGTCAAACCAATTGGGTGTAGAGATAATTGATCACAAATGTCCTTCGATGAGACAGTTGTTGAAAGTAGACAAACTACGAGTTACTGAAATAAGGACCTACAATTAACAGTTTGATAAATACAGCCTTAGTTTTTTAACAGATGTTTCTCAATACTGATTATATCAATGTAGTACCTGCCATTATAATATACCAATGCTGTGTACCTCAGTTGCTTATTTTGAAAAAAGCAGTCACGATAATTTCTGACTTCTTATAGTTTCCCGTAGTCTCATGGAGATCCAAGTGGGAGATTAACTGAATCCGGTTTCCTCCAGCTTCCAAAAAAACCACGATGAGACTTTAGGTGAACATCAATCATCATCAACGGGGGAATCTAAATGAAGTTGTCTTCTTCACCTACCTGATCTACGCATTGTCCTTTAACCTATAGGTGGGACTAGTGAAGATGTCAAGGCTGATGCGGAGATCTGCAGCACTCTTCACCAAAGAACAAGATGCAAATTTTCAACACTGATTTCGAATCAGTCAGCACTTCTATATGGTTCAGCGACTTGATGTGGACGTTACAGAAGGCAGTTTCAACATACTATTGAAGACTTTTATTAACAGCTACCTTCACTGGCTCGATAATAAAGATCAAATGACCAGCTGGGGAACAAAAACAACAAAGAATTCTGCTAGATAGGCAATGAACCGACCACGAACCTATCGTCCAATGAATATGCAGAATGAAAAGTAGATAGATTGAACATACACTGAGAAGGCCGTCGAGTGGAACTCGAATGGAAAACGATAAATTGGGCATGGGGTCGAGGAAGACAATGTGAAGAGGAAACGAAGGCATATGGGTAAGTGTGGAACCAGCTAAAATTCGTTACCAAAGTTAACAGTGGTAATAATTGTGCGCCTCATTTTCTTATTTGCAACGAATAGTCTTTGAGTAGTCAACGGTTTTTAAAATATACTTTTACAATTGTTAAGAGGTGGTTCTATCATATTTAAAAGTTTTCCACCTCAAAAAACTTTATACTTTAGTCAATGATTTTGACATTCTGCATTCAGTGATGAAACAATCTGCTCAAAGAAGAGATAAGCAACATTAACTCCTAACTTTTTTTGTTTACCTGCCCGACTCAGTGATCTAGGACAAATCTATCAAGTATCAGGCTAACAGGTATACCTCCATATCGTGGCAGGGCTGTCGATAAGTGATACTACCTAGTTAGCTACCCATACTGAAGTAATATATCCGGGGGTGAGGGTACTCGAATCCCTAACCCATTCGACTGCAAAACTATGCTCTTAGGCCAATGAATGAGCCAAATGTTATTCTATACAGAGTAATACGTCAAGGTCATCCTATTATATTGTGAAAATTCACCATAGTGACAGAGAGAAAAGATGATACAACACTTCTGGTGTGTATTCCTACTTATAACAACCATTTAAGTAGTACAAAAAGATCAAAACAAAGTGGAGAATTCATAAAATAAGAAGACAAGACAAATTTTTATTAAAAATGAAGAAGAAGAAACAAGGAAAAGTGTTAAAATACCATTTAAAAAACACAGATATACACGCACGCACATAACAGTCGTGATGATGTAAACAGCCTAGTGGCAGATGTTACACACATAAATACACCCACCATCCAAAATCACATGAAATAATAAAAAAAATATCACTTTTACTGATGGAATTCGATAATTTGGCGGGGATGGGTTAGCAGGAGATTCAAAATACCATTCACCGAACAAAAAGTCTTATTAAATATCGAAAGATAATGTGTGTGTGTGTGTGTTCACTTGACTTCTCTCCTCTTATCATTCAATCATTGCCTGCATATTAAATGAAAATAACAATAATAGCGCAAAAAAGCGAAGTTAGAAAGGTGCGGGGGGAGCAGGGGAGGGTGGAAACGGTAATCAAGTAAAATAAACTAACACAACCAAAACAGAACAGAATAGAACAAAGCAGCAATTAAAACTCAAAGGAACAAAGTAACTAGCCATTATACGTCTGATTCTCAAGTTAAATTCATTTCCGAGAATAAAAATTAATTTTTATTAAGTAAAACAATGGAAACAGATACTATTACGTAATAGTATTAGGGTGTCATGTAGGTGGGTGTGAAAAGATTAGGTTAAGAAAACCAAGTAGAAAAGAACGAAAGACAAATAGTGCATAAAATATGCTTTAGTAGACAAAAAAGCACCAGTGTATAACAACTGCTACAGAAAACAGTCGAGATGTAGGGATGCTTACAAGAGACGGTTGTTGGATAACAAGATTTTCGTCCAGAAATGTACGTGCGTAGGCGTGTGTACACACCAGTATATTTATCTAATAACTACGTCGGACAAAAAAAGGCAAGTATCAGAGAGTAAACCACCATATACTTTATGCATTTTGTTACTATTTTTGTAATTGTTGAAATGTTATTCACTTGTTCAGTCTGTTAATTAATTAATGAATACGATGAGACACAACTGGATACTGATTCACCGGTGTTGAAGCTGAAGTCGAAGCAGCAGCAGCAGCAGAAGTTGGAGAGGATGTTGGATATAATTGTTTGGCTGTTTGCATTAATATTTTTAATGCTGGACCAAAACACTGAATATCTGGTAATTGAAAAGCTGACTGAATTAACAAATTCACTTGTTTCAATGCTTCAGTATAATTGAATTGTTCAGCTAACAGGGTACACTGTTGCAGACATTCAAAAGTGGAACCAGTCAATTGTAATGTACCAGTAGAGATATTCTTGAAAAATTGGTCTAAACGACGTTCTACATCATCTAGTTTATTACGATATTGCTAAAAAAGAAAATAAAAGCAGAATTTGAAAAATTTTTTATTCATAATAAAGATTATTCTATGCGCATATTATCAAATGTACACTACATGTGTAGACGGTTCAATCGTAGAATGCTTGTTAATCACTCATAAGTAGTCCAGAGTTCGATTCCCGGCCGATGTACTACTCCTAAGCCTCGCCACTAGTTTACTAGCCGATAAAAGCAAGGGAACGTCGGGTGTGAGGCTAGAAACTCGACCTCGTAAAAACGAAATCACCGCTAATGAAACTTCAAAACCCAATGTTCCACTTGGAACTCAACGAAAAAAATGTAATGATATACTTCATCAGTCCTAATGTATGAACTGATGTAAGGAGAAATCAGCAATACATTTCCGATGCATCAGGTCATTTAGCTGCATTTTAATATGCAAGGCCGGGATGACACTACGTCAGTTAATATCCAGGATCAACTAGTTAGGTCAGGATTTAAATCGGAAATAGACTGGATGAAAGTAATTATTTGTTTTTAGGTGAATCTGCATTTCCAAATGATTGACTTAACGGACCTCTTTGCTGCTATGTCAACTTCTAGTACGGACGCTTCGACAATATCTGAAGATGAAAGTGATGTTATTTTGGTTGATGTAAAACTAGCAGGGGAGCTCAGGGTGTGCATTTCGTCTTGTTTGGAACCCGTCAGTTGGATGTACCTGGATTCTTAACGAGTGATGATTTGGTGTTTGAAACGATAAATAAACGGTAGGTCCCGGTGTCAGTGGAAACACCATCACTTACTCACCGGGATAAGGTGAGTGAGGCATATGTCCAGGTGTATTGAGAAATTACTCGGATTCTTTTCCTTCATTTCACACAACAAAGAAAAACCAAATAAATCAAAACATGCTTACTTTGCCTCCAGTTTGACGACAATTATATATTAAATCAATTAGTACTTTACGTATTGAATTATATTCTTCCGGTAATAAGCAAACGTCATTACCACTGCTATTAGCAGGAGTAGTAGTAGTAGTATCTGAATTGACATTTGAAGTCTGTGAAACAGTATTAACATTGACAGAACCATCAGGAGAAGAATTTGATGTTAAAATATTGTTGCTATCAGTATAAGGAGTTGAATCTATACTCGTCTTAGGTATACTACACAGTGGAGGTGCTGCTGGCCAGATAGTTGATGATGTCGATGAAGCTTGTCGTGGAGCTAAAGATGATGGTGAAGGTGAAAACTGAGTATTCTGAAATTGTTGAGGATATGGGTCTGGTTGTTGTTGTTGTAGTTGATGCTGCTGTGGTTGGTACTGTTGGTATACTCCTCCCCCTGGCATTTGTGGATATACTGAAAGGGGTGGTGACAGAACAGGAGTTGTCTTTGCAGGTGGTAACTGTTCAAATGATGGTTGTGATGGTGGCATTGGTGGAAGTTGTGGTTGCGGTTGTCCTTGTCGTGGAGGTACACTTGTATTCATTGACGGGATAGAATTATTCATTGATGAAGGATAAGGCACATTTGGTTGACTAAGGGCAGATCCTGCTGTTTGCAGAGATGGTGGCAGAGGAGGCATACTTGGTTGTACAGGTCTAGGGAATCCTGCCCCTGGTGTTAAGGAACTATTCAACTGAGAAATACTAGAACTGGTAAACTCCATAGGATTATAGTATGGATTGTGTGATACAGCTGACTATAAAAAAATAACCGTTATTATTATTGTTGTTGGATGCAAACAAATAATGTCAAAGAATAGAGGAAAATAAAATAAAAGCAACAAGATACTTTCACTAACCAACATAAGCGAATGGATCACTTAAGAAAGAAATTACACCGGAGGGAAGCTTCATCCTACTTCGAAACTCTCGAGCAGTGTATACCCATGGTGTTGATTTGTGACAAAGTCTACACTGAAATCAAACCAAATTCTCAATTTGCAGTTTAGACAATTTCAAAACACAGTTTTCTTCGATAAGTAAAACTATTCAGATCACAATGCGTGCATGATCTACCTGATACCATGAATGACAATCAAAAAAGCAAACATAAATGCATAAATGATCGTCCAAGTAGCTAGTTAGAAATCCGGTGTGATTTGAACTGATTCAACTCTCTCAGCCGAGTCACATCGGTTATTACACCAGTGATCGGATCAGTCTCACACGAGCGAAACAGCCGTCTTGCGGTGGTTTAGACCACTTTGATCTAACCAGCTAGGAATGATTACTGGTTGATATCAGTGGGTATACAACTACTCATCTCAATTAATCAGTAGTAGTACATAGTTTTATGCAAAAACATTGAAATTAATCCGAATTCCTACCAAAACCAAAATCTTTATAATAATAATAATCATAAATTTAACACAGTTAAGGGACTGAAATATACGCCAATATTATTGTTATCATTGCATTCAACCGATTGGCTTGATTGATTTGAAAACAAGAAAGAACGAACACACAATTGCAGAATGATACGACCTCATTTTATTTTACAGAGTATTGTCAACTGTAAACAGCCCAAACAATATCAAAATATAAGTTACAGAAGTTTGACTGAACATACTTTTATCACACTGACGTCGATGTTATCGATAGAAAGTATCAACAACATAATCCCGAAATGATGTAATAAAAGTAACCAAGGTTTCAAAACAATATATATATATATATATATATATATATAGAGAGAGAGAGAGAGAGAGAAGCTATGGTTACTTCATTTAGCAGAAATTATTGTTACTATCAAAATATTTAAACTCAACACCCGTATGCGGAAGGATAGTATGTTTAATGTCCCACTACCTTAGTAACTGTAATTGTTTTGTGTTCGTGCGTTATTTATGCTTGATTCTGTTGTGAAACGCTTTGCCTAGTTTCGTTTTTCACTTTCTGAGTTGAAGGATTGATAACCAGTTGACATCAGTTAGAGAACCATTTGAAAATCTGTGGGTACTGGACAGGTGTTCCCTCCTAGTTTGAGATTCTTCATCAGTACGCACCCACCAGGATCCGGGCTCAGGACCTTCTCCTTACAAGGCAAGCTCGCCCATGAATTAAGTCTTCTGTCAGTCCTTGATGTATAGTGCAGCCGCCAGCCGATGTCATCGGTGAGTAACTGTCCTCTTACCTGACTTTGTGGACCTCGCTAGTCACGACTTCTCACTAGAACTGCAGGTAACTCCCTGTATAGAACCAATCACTACTGAGCATCTATTAAGTTTCCAAACTTACTTACCTGCTTGTCTGTGTCATAATCCTACTTTTACTTTTCATTGCCACCCTCTTGCACTTTCCACCACATTATGCATAAATCTGTTCTCTCTCTAGTCGATCCTTGCTTCTATACTATATATGAACTCTGCTAGCCGCTCTTTTCCTGTTTGATTAAACTATAAATATTTAGCCATTTTAACAATGAATACTTAGATAATTCTACTTAGATAATTTTTAAAATTATATGCTATCTAAATTTTTTTCTTGATTTCAGCTTGATAACGATAAGTTGGACATCACTGTGATGAAAGTATGTTTAGTCACACCTTTTGTAACTCATATTTTGATATTGTTTAGGTTGTATGCAGTTGACAAGAATCCGCGAAATAAAACGAATTTGTACAATCCCGCAAATGTATGTTCATTTATTCTTTGTTCAAATATTATCAATGTTGTTTGAAAAGTTAAATAAAAGCAGCTAAGGTGGGTAAATAATAGGCAAATGTTGAATGATCTAAACAGAGGTCCTGGTGGACAGACATCACAAACACAGGATAAGGCATAACTGTGGTACATTCCAAGTTATCAGTAACCCACATCACATACATCAAAATAAAATGTAACAAGTGAGGAAAATAATGCCTAACAATTTGCATGGAAACACGACATGAATGCACAAAAGCTATGATGATTAATCACTCTGAGCCACATAACACTTATAATCCTTCAACCACTCACCCACCACGAGGTCAATCACCAGCCCAAATAGCTCAGTTGTGACGTATCCGACTGCAGGCGGCACTGGGCGACGCGAATTCAAATCTCAGAAGGGAAATGACTTCCTTCAAGTTTGCAGATACGCCTTGCTGATGATTACTTCCAACCACCTAATATCAACAATTCAAAGTGCACCGTGATGGTAAGTCACCTAGAATGGTGGCCATGTTGCAGACTTGATTGACAGAATTCAGTCTGTACCAAAGATAGGAGTAGACACATTACACTAGTTACTCACTAGTGTCCAATCAACGTTTTATTGTCTTCAAACTATGTTTAGGCAGTCAACTTAAACTTCCACGTATGACTCCACACAGCCTCGTTAATGACTTCATGAAGTGATTTTGCATTCTTGCTTTCCTTTTATTTAGCCTCAAACTTTCAGCTTTTGTAGTTTCAGCAGCGGTAGCGTTTTTTGTACGAGGTAGGGTCACTGGCCTAGAACCCAACCTTTCCTCGTTTATCTGGGTTTACTAGGAATGCGTTGGCCAGAAATCACATCCGAGTCACTTGCAGAGTGCTTGGCAAATACCCTACAACTGAGCCGTAGTTTTTGCTTTGTGTTAGTCTAATCTTATTCACCTAGGGGTGAGTTATTATGTACAAATGCGTATAACCAAATGTTGAAACTACGCACAAATCAATAGAGGCTGAAGATTTCATCGAATGGATTACACCTTCAATCGAAGTGCTAACCACCCCACCCTGCATGATGGGATCCACGTAACAGAAGGCAAAAAAAGTCACGTAAACGAATTTTTTGAAAAACTTAAATTCTTCCTACACTGTTTTGCTAGTAAAATGAACTTGTATCATCTCAGACAATCCCATTTAGTTTCCTACAAGATCTAGTTACCGATTGGAAGCTGGAAGTTTATCAGTCAAGTGTGTAATGCAGTCACACTAAGCTGGTTGGTATGATACTAGTAGGATTTCTGTGAATTGAATTTCATTTTCCTAAATAGTTCCTCACTACAGTAACTTATACGTGGTTATCGTAATTCAATCTATTTTGTACGGAGCAAAGGACTTACATATATACTAAAAGTTAAACACTTACTTCTCTTTTTCTAAAGTTAATGATCAGTTTGTTGGCTATGGAAGACATACTGCGGTGATTAACTTTATTTCAACATTGTTGACTGACTATACAAATTATCTGGTGATAAAAATTCCAACTTGTATACTTATTTCAATTAAGCATGCGGTCACGAAGCAACATTATTTAGAAAATAATAACTGAAAACTAGGGTTTAACAGACAGCTGTTCCATCGTAGTCTGGAACCCCTTGGCAGCGTATGAACCCATCAGAGACCAATGAAGCCAGGCACCTTTAAGTTGCGAGCCCAACCCATTGACTATCTAGCCAATGGGTCAGAATTCAATGACCTACGAGTTCTAACTTAGTTAAGAAGATGGAGTCAGCTAACTGATTACATTGTGGAGCTACATAGATTGAGATAGCTAGGACACTAGTTGTGTGTACCAAGTCATTAGCTTCATCACCAAGCAATGTCAGTTAAAGTCAGATTAGGTGGGTGTATATAGATTCAACAGGGGTGGTCAAACAAAAAGGTGACACCAAATCATGAAGTCTTTGACTGTTGATTTCAGCTACATAGGGCAGGGTAGTGGAGATGGTACTTATCAATGGCTCAATAGCATAGATTCATTCATTCTTAGTGATCATCCAAATCAATTAAATCCTTATTATCCATCAAGTAATTATTCCACCTTTAGAAGACTTCCTTTTGTTAAAGTTTCTCTGAATTTTTATCTCCAATCTTTATGAAGTGTGGCATCATGAACTGCTGCACTTCTGTACAACACTTTGCCGTTCCTGTTAATATCTCCTATGTGCATAAAAAATTACACTCACATGTGCGCATATATATATATATATATATATATATATATATATATATACAAAGAAAACCTCTTAGATACACAAAAGAAAGGTATAAATAAAAAGAGGAAAGACCTCTTACTTGTGGTGGTTTATTCATTGATAGAAGTGGTGGATCATTCCAACCAGGTGAAGTAGATGTTTGTCGACGTTGTAAAGGTTGTTGTTGATGAGAGGCCGGTGGTGGTGGTGGCAACGGTACTGACTGTTGTGATTGCAGCTGATGTTGTACACCATACTGTGCAGTAGACGAAGGCATATTATTAAATGGTGATTGATAATTAGCTGGTATATTATTTCCAATGTTTGTATTCATCGGGGTAGATAATGATGGAATGGGAGGCTTGACTACATTCGGCATACTGTAAAACAAGGCATAACAAGAATGAAAGTGTTTGTATTTATGTGTGTGTGTGTGTGTGTAGAAGTATACGTTTATGGAATTATTATTATCTTTTCTAAAATAATTGATATAAAACAAGCTTTTTAGTTTATTTGAAAGTGGATGGATACATTTTTTCTGTTGTCTCTAACTATATCAATTTACGCGTTAACTACCGAAGTAAGTACATGAAAAAACGGGAACAAGGACCTATTGTTGATTTTGTTAACATCTACTGGAAAGCAAGCATTTACAATACTAAGCAATTAGGTGATGCAATATCGACTTATCTACACAGAACATCATGCGTTATGCAATATGTTGTTGCGATCCTTCATTTTTACTTGATTATGCCATGTTTCTTGAGACCTTTTGATCATACAATTACAATTTGCTTAACCACACTGAGGCCACTATCTCTTTTTGAGTAACGCATTTTCTAATGACTTAGATAATCTTATAATTTATACAGCCCTCAATATTTTGGTTTCATAAGAGAAAACTCAGTCAGACCTTTGAAGTGTAGACAGAAGTACAGCAAGGATGCCTACATATTATCACCGATGATATTCCTAACAGTGATAGAATGGATGATGCAAAAGATTGCATGAAAAGAGAAGATAGGCATACACGTCTGATCGACAAAAACACTCTAGAGGATATAGACTCCGAGGATGATTTATGTATAATCTAACACAAACCCGGGGATCTACAGGCGAAAATCAACAGATAAGGAGAAAATGCACCAAAGAGACGACTTCAGGTGAATATACAGAATAGATCAAGATACCCAATCAGCAGCAACAACAACAACAGGCATCAATGGGAGGAATATGAAGGAGGTCATTTCTTTCACTTCTATGGGCAGCATCGTTTTAATTAAATACAGGGAGCATAGATGAAGATTTCGAGGCCAGGATTGGTAAGGTAAAAGAGACCTTAATTAACGTCAAATTATTGTGGAAATCCACTGCATTCAGAACAAGGAACAGGATTCAAATTTCCAACAATAATGTCAAATTAATCAGTGCCTCTAAATGATTCAGACACTTGGTGCCTGTATCACCGAAAGCATTTCCAATAATCTATTGCAGACTTTCATTAACATCTCCATTAGTTGCTTCGATAATGAAGATCAGACGACCAGTTAGAAAAGATAAGCAAATAGTAACTCTGGCAGGCGACAAATCAAGAACACAGGAAGATTGAGCAAAGAAATATTTACTTTTCAATTAGATCCTCATCTTTGGCTCTACTCTAATATATATAGCACTTTAATTACAATACAACAGTTTGTCAATCAAGTGGCGATAAGTTTGTTAACAATAATTAAACAGTGTCAATGGGTCAATAGTTAACAAAGAAAATCAATACAGATTTAAAAGGTGGAAATGGATAGAATAAATAAATTTTACAAGAATAACACGTAAATTAAAGATAGAGTGGTCAAAATAAATAAAATAAAATAAATAATTTAGATAAAGAACAGATTCCCTGAGAAATATGCACAAGAAAGTGAAGATACGGGTTGGATATACGCTGAGAAGACCGCTGGTTGACATTGCAGGCTAAACAGGCTCTCGATTAGTACATGAATGGTGAATGATGAGTTGGATGGAGGTCTGAAGGATGACATGAAGGATTTCATGTGTGGAGGAAATGACAACTTAAGGGGAATCATGGAAGCCGTTAAAAAGAATTATTTTCAAAGTTGTATGAAACTTAATTTCGATAGCAATAATGTGATTTACATTGTGCCACTCTTGAAGACTACACAACCAACCTTACAGGAAGTTGACAAACAAAGACGCATTTTAATTTGCTAAGATTCGACTACAGACAGAAGCAAGTTTACCAGCCGATAGTAGATTGGGATGGGCATACGACTAGCAACCTCATTCCCCAAAAGGAAACAACACAGGAACTACAAATGCTTGAAGCCTTATGTCTCACGTGGAACCGTGTTAATGCTTTAATTAGTCGGCATCAGAAGTCATTTTTATATGATGTCTCGCAGTGATCGTAGAGGAATAATAGATCTGAAAATCACTCCATGAACAGTCTGTTAGCGGTAATGATACCTATATGAATAAACTTGCACTAATTTTGTAATTTATTTTATTTCCTTCACGTTCCCACTAAGTTGCACATCACTGTTTCATCTCCACTTTGGAATTAGTCGTTATTATTTGTCCTTGATCTTAATCGATTCGTAGATTCAATACTTCATTTTGCTGTTGTGTTATAATTTGCTAATAATGTGTCGTTTTACAATTGCGGTTTTATTTGATGAACAGATTCAAAGTTATCCTGTGGGATGACTGCTTGGTCTTGAACCGTCTGGGAAAGCACATTTAGTTCTACTTGATTCTTGTAGACAGAGTTTTTCCCCCACTTTGTTGAGAATATTCTCATTGCTTCTCAAGTAACTCAAAGTTGTGCGTCCAGTCAATTATTATTGTTGTGCAGTACAAGCATTTTGTGCTTGAGAAGTTTTAAAACTGTATTATTATCGAACGGCATTCTCAGGTAGAGCTATACATACTACTAGGTGATTGAGATGAGTAGTTGTAAACCCACTCACATCTACCAGTAATGCCTGCTAGCCGGTTAGATCGAATTGGTCTAAACCACCATAAGAGGACTGTTTCGCTGCGTTCAAAGAACACCCGATTTCTGGGAGAACTGGTAGCGCCTTTGATCACCACTACTGGTTGAAGTGAGGGGTATACAAGTTCTCACATAAATCAATCAATAATATGTAATTTTATGCATTTATTATTAAACGTTTGTGTTAATTATTCTTAATTCCTTTTTCTCTCACTTTGTTTAATTTAACTTTTCTATATATATATTGACTTGACAAGTAAATGTGTGATCAGATTGTTCGAAATGTATAGCGCTAATACATCACATTTTTCAGATAGTCTCCGTCTTCTAATAACGCTATCAAAATTTATAAAAGGGACTAATTGTTTTAAATTATGCATTTATGCTTGCTTTTTTGACTACTATTTATGATATCAAATAGATCACACAAGCAATGTGATCATCTGAATAATTCTGGTTTCAAGAGGAAACTGTGGTGAGAATTTCAACCCTTGGAACTGTGTGAATTGTAAGTTGTTGGTTAATTTGCAAATAAGGAATCTGATTATTAAGGCAGTTTTTGTATTTTTGATATAAATTATTTTAGTGCTTTTGAGCAGTATCACAACTCCTAGCAGCTTAAAAAAAGTCGTTTGACATAATTGGGACCTTATATTGCTTGTGGAAGTTTGGCAACCTACACTGAAGGATGCGTTGAATGTCTGTCTATAAGCTGAGACCGAAATACTTACGCTTCAGCTGTTTGTTACACCGATGCTGAATCATGAGATTTTATCACATTCTATCTGTCCTTTGGATCCATAAATGAGCGGAATAGTCAAGCGACCAGAGTTAACTTATACTACTTGTAATCTCTCTGTCTGCGTCTTACATTGCATTGCAGTTTTTTTTTTAAAAACAAACACGAATTCTTTCTTCATAACTCATGTTTTTTGCTAAAAAAACAGGACAAGACTCAACAATCACGCTTACATGAAGCAATAATACTTCATCTAGCTACTCAAAATTATCGTGGGTATGTTTGAATGTATAACAAGGTACTAAGCCAGAGCTTTGATCTAGGAAATAATACTGAGTCACACGTCCAAATCCTGCTCGACCAACTGAACGTTAAGCAGCCAGATAATACAGCATTAATAGCCATCACACAGTAGATGTTGGCATAGAAATATAACTAGTTGTTATGTATTTTGCAAACAAACTCAGAAAATAAAACCAACTTACGGAGATGCATGTTGTTGATTTGCATTAAGCTGAATATTTCTAGTCTGTTCAATAACACTAGGCATAGAAGGATGACTGAAAGCACTGGGAGGAGGAGGAGGGGGAGCAGGAGGACATTGTTCAAAAGGCATATTTTGACTCGATGGAAAATATGGTTGGGGCTGTTGTGTTGCTGCTGGTAGTGGGGGAGGTGGAGGTAATGGCGGCTGCAACTGCATTCCCTGAGAAGGAAATAGTGGCTGATTTGAAATATTTGCTGATGGCAATGGCGCATAGAAATTATTAGTAGATTGTATTGGTTGTTGTAATAACGGTTGTGGGTGCAAGTGTGGTTGTTGTGGTGGAAGATTCTGTGTTGATGATGGAAAGATAGTAGACATTGATGATTGCTGAGCATGCATGGCTTTTTGATGATGTGTTGCTTTATTAGTCATAACAAGTGATGGGTTCGATTGAGACAAACCACAATGGCATCCGGTTTGCTAAAAAGCAAAATACAAAATAAAATAAACAAGCGACGATAACCACAAAATGGTCACTGAAAGAACTAATGACTGAACATTAAGGAAATTGTTCCCATTGTTATTTGAATGATGGAGGCCAGAAGTGGGATTTAGGACGTACGTTTAGTTCTATTTGGAACTTGTCAACATGATGTACCCACAAGTCTTCAGCGAGCGATTGTGTTCCTACAGAGACTCCAGCTCAGGACCCAATCTCTTCAGACTACATAGCAGTAACCACTAGACCACCACATGAAAACCACTAAACTGGTAAGTTTCAAATAAAAAGTAGTGCGCGTTATGGATTCCACTGCTAGCCAGTGTTACTGAAGTGACATCATATTAATTCCAAAATATAGATGAAGCGGCAATATTTACAGCCAACGCGTCAACAGGGACCGAGCTTTCGCGTCTCATACAGTCAGTCAGCATGGAAATTCAAACTGACATTAAAAAAACAGGTAATACAACAGGTGGTTATCATGGCTTGCTGGATAACGCTTTGGCACGTGAAACCACAGGCGCTGGGTTCGAGTCTCAACGGCAACTTCTGTAGTCACTGCAGATACGTATGGCTGAAGAGTCCCAGATAGGACAAAGCTTGCATTCTAAATAACACCAATAGTCACTACCAAACATATATATATATGTAATTGGTTACGGCTGTCCCTATAACCTTCTAGAAACACTATTTTAACTGCAATGTTCTCATGGGAAGTTATGAAACGAATACTCATTGATCTATATCTTTTGGAATTAACCATCCGTCATATTTTATTCACCCAAGTGAAATGACTCAAACAATCCGGTGCATGCTTTGCGTGATACGAAGTGATACCTCCCGGTGTCCTGAGAGAGCTGTAGATAGTAACAAAAACTTCAAAGCCAATGCTCCAGATAATTTGTTTTGGAAAATATCATACATTCGTGTCATTCGTTTATTTATGACATGTGGTCAGTGGTACTTAGGCGGCTCGATATCACACAGCTCATATTTAGTAAAGTTAGTTATAGTGCAGTGGTTGGTCATTGGAGAGTGAATCTCTCTGTCTGTCTGTATTCAACATAGAACTTCGCACTGAAGTGCAGCAGTTCGAGTTGCCACGTTCCAAATACCACACAAAGGTAAACAAGAAGATGAGTGAAGAGAATCAATAGAGTTTGACGAGTATAAGAGTGAAACAGAATGGGTAATAGTAGAAAGAAATATGAAAGATTACAGAGACTGAATACATCTGCGTCATTGACAACGATTTTGAGCCATGTCACCTATTGTCTCCAGCCATTGATTCCTAGAGTCCCGAGGGCCCCAACCCGGAAGTCTTCATCTCTCCCTACCTGACTCAGTTTAACTGTCAAGGATTTCATGGATTGATGCCATGTTTTTGTTTGGCCACCACTTACTCTTTTCCAACCTGCACCTATTTCAGCTAGTAATGCCCGTCGGGGGAGGCGATGGTTAGGCATGCGCAGCACGTGACCTAGCCATCTCAGTCTATGTAACTTCATAGCTTCGTCGATTGATTTTCCCTCTTTGCCCAACACTCTACGCCTAACCTCAACATTACTTACCTTATTAAACCACCTAATGTGAGACAGAGATCGCAGACATCTATGATCGAAAGCAGTCAACCTTTTCATGTCTTCAACTCGTATTGGCCATGTTTCAGAGCCATAGACAAGGACGGAGCGAACTGATGAGCAGTACACACGTCCCTTGGTTGATAACCGGATGTCACGCCTACGCCAGAGATGGTGTAAGTCAGCGAAAGCAGCTCAAGCTTTTTGGATCCGTGCTGAGATTTCATCGCCAATCAATCCGTTGGTGCTAATACAACTTCCCAAATAGGTGAAGTGGTCAACATGTTCTATCACTTCACTCCCTATCACTAAGTTAGGGATTGACGGGGTCCAGTCCTGTAGCAGCATCTTACATTTTGCAGGGGCGAATCGCATGCCAAATATACGAAGATTGCTGCTCAAGGTGTTCAGAAGACTCTGCTGGATTTTGTCAGCATCCTCCCCTAACAGGACTATGTCATCTGCATATTCTAAGTCCATTAGATTATTCCCTGGTAACAAGTCGATTCCTAAGTCACTACGTTCAGTTAAGGATACTTCCATTAGCATTTCTATGATGAAGTTAAACAGAAATGGGGAAAGTGGACATCCCTGTCGGACACCACTGGTTGTTACCAATTCAGATGACAATTCCCCATAAGCCCTTACACGACTACATGAGTTTGAATAGAGTGCCTTGATTAGTGCAATGTACTTTCTTGCCACTCCCTTCACAGTCAGACATTGCCATAGTACCTTTCGATCCACGGAGTCGAAGGCCGCCTTCAAGTCAAGAAATATGGCAATTGTTGGACGCCGAAAAGTGTGTCTATGTTCTAGAATCTGTCGAAGAGTAAAGATATGATCTATGCACCCTCTACCTGGTCTAAAGCCTGCTTGATTTTCAGGACTATGTCATCTGCATATTCTAAGTCCATAACAAGTCGATTCCTAAGTCGTTACGTTCAGTTAAGGATACTTCCATTAGCCTATCTATGATGAAGTTAAACAGGAATAGGGAAAGTGGACATCCCTGTCGGGCACCACTGGTTGTTATCAATTCAGATGGAGAGTGAATGGTGTCGTGTGTCTAATCCGTCGCGCTGAGTGACTGAACTGCCGGATAAAACTTTGCAGAGGAGTGCATCTACCTGCTCAAGTTACCATACTCCATGCAGCACATAAAGTTAGAAACAAGCGATTAAAAAGAACTATAATGAGCAGAAATGTGTAGGAGAAAGAAGAGTAACATTGAAGAACCTGGGGACTTAATGCATCTGAGCCATTCAGAACTATTTTGAGACATATCACCAACATTTTCAAGCCATTAATCCTTAGAATCCTGAGGACCCCATCCCCTTAAGTGACTCAAACAAACTATCAAAGTGATGCCAGGTTTTTATTTGATCAACCCCAACTCTTTCCCAAACTAATCTTATGTCAGCTTATACTGGTCAGCATGGGAGACGGTGGCTCGGGATCCGTTCACGTGTCCTATGCATCTTAATCGACGTCGCCAAACCAATTGACTTGGCCTGCTTACCTAATATTCTCCATCTTACCTCAATATTAGTACCATATTACGCCATTTAATACGGTATACAGAAAGCAAACATCTATGGTCAAGGATAGGAAGTCTTTCCAAAATCTTCACTTTCAATGGCAGTCTCACAGATATAAAGAGGGACAAAGAGAACTGCCGCTTAGCACTCACTTCCTGTGACCCATATCCGGATATCCGACAGAGATGACTTAATTTAGTTGATGCCTCACGAGCCTTTTGTATTTGTGTGGAGATTTCGTCAGGAATTAGTTCATTAAGACATGCAATTTTTCAAATAAGTGAAGTGGTCACTACACTCCACTCCCTAGGGGTGACTGACTGAATCCCATCAGTCAAGTTTGAAATGTGTCACGAAGCTAAGAAACTTGTGTAATTGTCGTGAACTTTGAATTATTAATAAGTGGTTGAAGGATTTCAACAAGAATCCGCAGACTCTGAATTCGTCGGCAAGGTGTACATGCAACCTCGAAGGAATTGATGTCACATATTCTAGCCCGCATCACCCAGTGACGATGAGATATTCACACCCAGATTGCCTTCAAGCATCCAGCAGTAATTAGGTGTTTTAGTTTTTAACAATTTTCAGTAAAATAACATATGAAATAGACGTTATTCCTTTGATATAATATGCAAAAGTAAGAAAAACTCGATTCGTGAAATTTGACCACCTAATCCGATAGCACAAGTAAGCATAATGCCTCGAATAATTTCATCACATAAAGGATGCTTTAGACCTTTTGTTTTATTTATTCTTTAAAACACAAATTTTGTACATTATGCGGGCAAAGAGATGAACCCCACACAAAATATCAGTTTATACAAGGGTTGAGGTTCCGCCCCAACGCCCAGACCAAAGCAGGTGGTTATCATAAGGGATCACACTCCGCACGCGCCTTTGATTTGAAGTTTGATCCATAAGGTAGTAGAGCAACGTCATCAGTTACGTTCCCATGGTTGACAGTGTGTAACCAGAAAGGATTTATACGACACTTGGTCCTTTCGAATTCTGCTTTGGAATCAGCGTTTTCCAGCTCTCGCAGGTAAACCAATATATTCACCAGTTTGGTTGTAACGCCAGAGGTTCATATTTAACATTTCACAAATGTGGAAAAAACCCACGCCACGGCAGAGGCTGTCTCAATAAAGCAACACAAAACTAGATACACAGTTTACTGATGACCATATTCAACAGGAGGTTACAAATTTCAACCATATTTGCATGACTATTAAATTGCTTTGATTAATACCAAACTAAAAGATACAAAAAAAACAACACCTACCGGATATGGACATTGAAAGAGTTGTTGTAATTCCGAAGATGAAGATGCTTGTTGACAGTATTGCTGGTATTGTTGCTGCTGTTGTTCAACGCTTAAATTACACCAAAGACGATGTCTTAAGTCAATTAGATCATTTCGTGTACTTAAGGATGATGATGAGATTGTTTTAGTCAATAAATTCAATGCAAGGATTAAATTGTTCTCACACTGACCACCTCTTGTATCTGCTAACCAGATAGCAAGACTCATCAATAATTGATTCGACTGGAGACATTCAAACTGGTCTTGACAATAATTATTGTTAGTTTGTGATACACGGTGTAAAAGGACCAGTTGAAGTGCTAAGGGCTAAAAATATAATAATAATAATAACAAAAAACCATTCAAATTACAAAAAATATAAGCAGGAAAAATATTCCCACTATTCAACAGTATTGATGGATAGGGTGAGGTTAAAATAAGGAATCAAACTAGAAGCCCAAGAATAACTACTAGTTCGGCTGTCTATCAACCAACTTACTCTTGACCAAACTGTTAACCACATTAACACCGCTAATGCCCGACTGTATCGTGTGAATGAATCATAATTCAATGTAGATTGTATTACGAACTAATACCAGTTAGACGTCATCATCGAATATCAAAAAGTACTACTACTAGACAGCTTTTCTACCCTAGTTTGGGACTCTTCAACAATGTGTGTCCACGACCATACCTCTAAAGAATGAACCATAGACCTTTAGATTATGTGGTCAAGCTCTTTGATTACTCAGCTACTTAAGTCGGAAATCAATGCGACCAGTAAATTGCAACTTCTGTCTATTCGAACGATATAGCGCTACCACCAACGAATGCCTTCGGTGAGCATCAACTTCACGCTGACATGGTGGACTCGACGGGCGATAACTTCTCATTACAACCTTAAGACATTCATGCAAGTAGCCGCGAACGGGCTAGAGATTGATGCTTAGATTATGAGGGTGCCGAAAAGTCCTAATCAAAGACGAAACGGCTGTCCAGTGTTCCTTAACTTTCAGTGATCTCTAAGTAGTGTCGGTTTGTAATAAATTCTATATGAAAACTATTTCAAATCGCTACAAAAGCACATAATCTAAATGAACGATACGTTGATATCTGTTTAAGATCTCCAGGCTACCTTTTAAACTAGGGTTTTCTCCTGTCAATCAAAATTAACCTGAGATATAACGACAGTATCAAGTTGCCAATCGATGATTAAACTATCCGAGATAGCCTTTTATAATTGAAGGTTGAATTTTGTAGCTCAGTTGATAGACCCATGTGTTGGTGATCATTCTGTTCAATTTCTGTCGAAATCAAGATTTGTAATTCACATATTCAATCATATTACAATACCATACATAAATTGTAGTCTAATGATCCAAGTCTTTCATGAGATAATCTTGTCATGAATGGTATTATTATTCTTATTGTCAATGAACACATTCTTCTTCTTTTGGATTTCGATTGGGATACAGAGTTTCAGCAGGACATCTTCATTTCACTCTGTTCTACGCAATCTTTCTTGGATGGCTCTTTGATTGTCTATAAGGTTTCATTCCCAGCTGATCACACGATCTCCTTTCACTATGTCATCCTCAGTCCGAGGCTAGAATCACAATTATCCATCCGAGTTCCTGTCGCGTGATGTTACCCAACCTATCCTCATTTCCTTCTGCATATTGTGCTTTTCTTGTACTTTCTTCTCTTGCTTCGCGTGCTACACGGAATGTGGCGACTTGAACTTCCGCACATTTGTGCAAAGTTCTATGTCGAAAACAGACAGACAGACAGATATATAATGGAAATAGTCTAATGATATTGTCTACGTGTAGATTCAATTGAGTGACATCAGCTAGGTCAATCAAAGAGTACTAGCTACTAAGTCATTGGTATGAACTCGACAATAGTGTGAAACCATAACCAAAGACAGCATGGAGTGCAAAACCTTATGCTGTAATGTGCCCTACTGAATTTATCCAATATGTCTTTAGCCTCACTTTCTTTCTTAATAACTATAAATGTATCGTCAACATATCGGCAATGGAAATCTAAGCCACGACAATAAGACGCCAGAAGCATATTTTCCGCCCAATTCAGAGAGGTATGTCCACCCCTTTTCTAGTGTGGTCCTTGATATGACGGATTCCGAAGTCTTATCTCTCGGTCTTAAGAATCGCCCTATCCTGAATTCCGTAATTAATTTTCACCTATTTTCCAAAACTTAGATATCTTGTCACTAACATCTATGAATTATTTGTTTTGATGACCATTAACCTCTTGATTTCACCTCCGCCCATACCTAAAACTAATTAACTAAAATAACTACTTGATTAGTAAGAAAAATTTTGATGTAAAAATCTTTATATTAGTGTAGAGCCAGCCGATGATGAGGAGCTGATTGAAAAGGAATGCATATTTCTTCGCTCAATCTGTTGTTGTTTCTAAAGATAGAATCGTTCAATCCTGTCGTCTAGTGACTATTTCAAACGGATTGTAACAACTGATTCATTCACATGGAGCTGGACATTAACTGTAATTATTGGAAATGACGACCTGGGTAGCAGTTGAGTCTTGTAACCACCCGACTAATAATTCTGGGAATCGATTTTCATTCCACCTCCAGATATCATTATAATGATCACCCATTCATCGGCATTACGTAACACCATATTCAACAACCAATTAGCATACCATCGTAAACGCAGCCTGAACCTAACAGCTTTGCATTCCATAATCAATACAATATCCATAAAAGAAAATTATGTGACTAAATTAAATGAATGCATGAAACTATATAATACTGGTTAACTGATATGAGTAGTTGGATTTCATCCACATTCACCAATAACGCTTCTTAGGCAGATCGAAATAGTCTAACTACCCGGTGACTGTTTCACTCTATTTTGCAGGAGAGCTCATTAGCAGTGGAACCTGTTTGATACAGCTCAGACAGTTAACACGACTGGTTGATTCAAGTGGCATGCAACTACCCGAGCAGCCAACTAGCCGGAATTTGGGTGGTTTGAAATCATTCCACTATGTGAACTGAATCGAACTGGGTATGCTGCTGGTGAGCCCCACCCCCACATGACCGAAACGGACGTCCAGCGTCTCGAATAATTCAGTTTTGGCTGTCTAGTTAGCACAACGGGTTGATGTGACTAGTATGCTGTTGCCTATACCAACCTTTCAGTAGTATATAGTGCCATGCATCTTATGCTTGCCTTTGTTGATTGACATTTAATGTATCAAGAAGATCAAATACTGTGATTTGAATAATCTCGGTTTGAAAATTTCACCTCCTCAAACTGTGTAAGTTGCAAAGTCAGAATTTGATTCAGTGTATTAGACAAGGTCGATTATAAAGTAGAAATGTTTGTTTTGTTGAACTGAACCACATGTCTTGGTTTGTCTTTTTCGTTTTTCGTTAAATAATCGATTTAATGACAATCAGATCATACTCTCTGTTATTTTACAACGTAAGGTACCTCGTTTTGCATGGACAAAAATCAAAATTCATAATGTTCTTGTCTATTGACGTGAAGGGTTTCGCGTCCATTACTGTTGGGATTATGCATATGGACACTGTTGAAGACCACTTAACTAGGAGGAAATACAGTTATTCACTGACCTCCGCTGTTTTCCCAATGGTTCTCTAAGTGATACCAGTGTATGTGGTAAAATCTTCACTTGCTTATGCATGCACAGTTGGTCATGAGCCACTCCACCTAACTTCTGTGTGCGAAGGGTAATGACACTACCTGGCTATCCTAAACCTTAGTAGAGGGAGTGGGCTTCGAACCCATGACCCATTATTATTGATTGGAAGTGAGGCGCCTAGAGCAATAAGCTACACGACTCCACATGATACGGCAAATTAAGTTCTCCCATAAATACACCATTCTAAATTCAAAAGTGATGAAATAAAATGAACTGGACGTTAATACACTTAACAATAAATCACCTACCAGGATTTTCGTTACATCATCTAATTGACTTATATCAATATTATTTAGGCGTAGCCAACATTGAGTCAAGCCATCTAAGTCTCCACTGATAATACAACAAACACATGCTACTAATCCAACTTCATTGGATGAAAGATCTTTGTGAATTTCTTTCATATCCTTATTAGCATTGCCATCATCATCAGAATTGTCGAGTAAACGTTTCACAATCAATGCTACAAGTGAATGGAAACAGGCACAAAAACAAACTTATCAGAAAGTATTAAAAGTGATTAACACCAAGAATGAGTTAGTCGTTGATTGGTAGAATGCTCACCAAATGGTTTAGGGTTCGATTCCTAGCCGACACACTCCTAAACCTCACCTAGTTTACTAGCCAATAGTAAGCCCATAAAAGAAGGGAAGCTTGACAGTGAGGCTAGCAGATCCATCCTGTAAAAACAAAACAACGCAACCACTACTAAAAAGGTGATTTTGTAGTATACACAAAAAGATCTATGAAAAAAGAGGTGGGAATACTGTCTGTTGATTTAAGCACCCGATGGATTACAAGTTGGATTTCTTCTAGACCAAGTTTAGCCTTGACTACTTTGAACCTGATCGCAAACTGTCTCCAGCCTTCATTGGTTTTTACCATTTCGAGGACTCTAACCAGACTGGCAGTCTATATACCTCCCTACATGGCTGGCTTAAACTAACTGTTGTGAATTTAAAACAAGCAATAAAGGTTAATAAATCAGGATTCAATAAATTCATCGAATTTCGGTAGAACTCGTCAGCTGAATACTCTACATACACGAATACATATACTTTTGAAATTACATTGGGAGATATAAGACTGATAAGCACAAATAACCTACATTGAATTAGTCATGCAGAAAGACACATGCGAATGTTTTACAGGTCATGTTCAAATAGATAAGAAGAGAGAGAGAGTACGAGAGATCAAAATTAAGATAAATTGCATTACGCTTCAATTACATCACTTAGATAAACAATTAGTCATTAGGGAATATAACGAGAATTTCAAACAGACTAATATCAATAGTAATGGTTATAATAATAATAATAATAATAATAATAGTGTTGAAGTGAGTTCAGAAAGTCTAACTGATAAAGGATAGTTTTAAATGAATCAATAATAATAATAATGATAATATTAATAACAATAATAGTAAGAAGAAGAGGTAGAATAATAGTAATAACAAGTAGAGAATAATAGGTAAAACGTATTACCATGATAGATTCAGAATGAATTTGATCGACTGATGAAGCCATGTTTTGGTTCTTTTCTAACCCGATCCTATGTCAGTCAACTAAAATTGCCCGTCGACGAAGGCGATGGCTAGGCATACATATCCCGACCATCTCAATCGATGCAACTTCACAACCTCCTCGATTTGTTTCTTCTACTTACCTAGCACTCAGTGTCTAACCTGAATATTACTCATCCTATTATACAACCTAACACGGGAGAAAGAACGCAGCTACCTATGATCAAAGACAGCTAGATTGGCTTTTCATATCTACCACTTTCAATGGTCATGTCTCAGCTGTAAAGGAGGACAGAGAGAACTGCTGAGCAGTACACACGCCTTTTAGTTGACAGCCGGATATGACGTCTACGCCAAAGACGGAGTAAGTTGGGAAATGCCAAGCGAACGATGAGTGATTTAGAGTACACAACATATTTTCTAGTCACCTCAGAGGAATAAATAACACAAAACCTTGAACAGTTGTCTATCAGTGAAAGTGATTACATATAACATCAATACAAAATGTAAGGGAGAATGGAAGGTGTGAAAACAAAAAGACTGCAAATAATTAACATTAAGACACTCTAAACATAACTGAGGATGTGGCTTATGATTCTGAAGCCCAAAGAGACCTACCACTTATGTCGATAAAATATGAATAAATATTAAAAAAACGAAAGTAATCTCATCAATGAATGTTTTAGGAACTAAAGATATCTAAAAAGCTTCGTGGATAAGTGTACAGTTAGGCGTGGTAGGTGGAAGTCTGTGTACAGTACTGCCAAGAAGACAATTCAAACTCGACCGATTTCCGACTCTTATTAACTTCAACTACGCTTATGAATTCACATGTACATGTGGAAGCAGGTACATAAGGAGAACTAAAAGATGGTTGTCTTGGAGGATTGTTGTTATGTCCAAGAGTCTATGTTTAAAAGGTTCAGTGCATTTAACGACACCGTAGCTCGGCACCTGACTAATACAGGACACCGAAATCTTTTAGAGTGATCAGTAAATAAGCCACTTTAGGACTATTTCAAATTGCTGAAGCTGTTACCATTGCAAGAAATAAAACCTTAGTAAGCATTGACTCGCACGTTAACTTATCGAAAATATCCTCTCAATGTAAATGACATAACTTGATAATTTCAGTTATCTATTTTCTTATATATTTTACTATTACCTTTATTATTCTTGACCTCTTTCACTCTGTGTGAATAATTCTAAACATGATTATGTAATCGTCTGCACTTATTTTTCGATTCACCTTTCAATTTCAAGATATAATGTCTCCGTTCTGGTTATAGTTAATTATCAAGGATTAGTTTGTAGGGATTTGATTTGTTTCGATTTCGACCACGCAGTGAAATCAGTCAGAGGACCATTGAAAACCAGAAGGGAGTACTAGAGAGTTGTTTCTTTTTAGTTTGGAACTCTTCGGCAGTACACATGCATCCCCAGGATTTGAACCCAGGATCTTCCAGTTGCGAGGCAAGCTCGTAGACGCGCATTTCGTGCTCTTTGGGACTTGCCATCTGGATGTACCTGCATTCTGCAGTGAGTGACGATGTTCCCACCGGAGCTCGAACCCAGTGTCCATAGTTTTAAACGCCGAAGCCTTACCCACTAGACCACTTGATACGATTGTGAGCAATAAATTGGGTTCAAAACGTCATCAGCAAATATTAGTGTATAACACTGTGAGACTTTATCAAAGCAAATTTTACCCATAATGGAATTATACTCTACCACAGTGCATAAGTTCTATTCTTATACCAAAGCTCGTAGACGATTCAGCCACTGGAACCTGACTCAATGGTTCATGAATTCTAACTTCTATCAACTCATGATTTTAGCGATACAGCCAGCTATTGTCATAGGCGAGTATTTGCCTCCATTCTAACTCCCTGTATGTATATTCTGCACATCGTGTTTATTGTCGGCATCTTATTCAACTCTCAGAGTTAGAGTATGTCTAAATTACATAACACACTGGTCGCTTATTCAAGAGGTATACAGACGACGAAAAGTCTATATGAAATCATAAAATGAATTCATCCTATCCTGTTGCGAAAGCTGTTGTCATCTGGATCTTATTCAAGTTTATGAAGGGAAATAATCACATGAAAATAAATGGAATTGACACATAACTCATCGACCACTTAACAGGCTTGCATATTCCAGGATATGATGCACTGTAAGAAATAACCATCAGTTTTATAATTTAAAAGAAGGTAAGTACCTCATTTTTCTAACTACTTCACTTCAAATAAAGGAAACAAGATGTGAACTGAAGCGGTTACAAAACAGTTAGAAAACAAGGTCACTTTCATTTCCATTCCTTGTGTTCCGATTAGGACACGAAACTTCAAGATCTGAAGTTACAGTAGCTGTAGTGCTGTTTGAGCACAATGACGTTGGTAGTTTTATGTCCAAGCTTCCAATTTTTTCAGGCTAGCAAACTAGATGAGGTTTAGGAGTTGGTCAGTGAAGAATCAACTCTGGATTACGTGAATGGGCAGCGAGCATTTCTAACAACGAACAACCAATGTATTAGAGGATAAACGTTCAATATCTTTCTTGATTTTAGAAGATCAAACAGCATATGAAAGTTTGCAAAACGATATATGTTCTGATTAACCTTTCCACAAAATTATATTACTTTCTAGATATGTACAACTTTGTCTCACCCTATAGTTTGGTTGTAAGCTAACAGTAGAGTTGCAATCACTAGGCCAAACATTTAACAAAAAGAAAAGATCAGAGATAGATACTGGAATTCATGGCATTGTGAGAAGGCTCATTTTTATTGATTTTAACATTTATTTTAAGAAAAAGATATTATATGACAAATTTAAGAGACGAAACACTTCTTTCTTGATCACTCAACTCATCCATTCGTCCATAATTTATTAATTCATATATACCAGTGATAGAATGCACGAAATTTTATGGAAAAAAACTTATGAAAGTAGAATTGGCTATGATAAGTTTTACAAACATATATGTGCTGCTGCCTCACATAAAAATAAAATGGTGATCTGACAGTTCAGTGGTAGAATGGTAACTAACTATGCAGGAAGTGCGTTTGATTCCTGGCCGACGCAGAAATGTCAACACCGCTTAGTTTACTAACCAACAGTAACTCCTCACTTGGAGAAGAGGGAAGATTAAACGTAACACTAGCAACCTTATTCCACTAAAGCACAACATCGCTGCCAATGAAAATTGGGGTCGCGCTAAATCACGAATTGGTAGAAGTTAAAATTCACGAGCCATTGAATCGGGTCCCAGTGGCTGAATGGTATACGAGCTTGCCTTGTAACCGGAAGGTCCTGGGTTCGAAACCCAGTGGGTGCGTACTGCCGATGATTCCCAAACTAGGATGAAACAGCAGCTGTCCAGTACTCCCTGGTTTTCAATGGTTCTCTAACTGATATCAATCCGTGATCAACTCGTGAAAATTCAAAACTCAAAGCCTGAAGGCCAATAGCTCTACAGGGAACACAAAGAATCGATAAAAATCATAATAATGCAATTCATCAGTTGACAATCACACACTTCCCCCATAGCAACCTGATATGTATCCATATAATATAATATGTGTTTGTTTGACAGTTTGATATATTTTGCTATGTATATATGGATCGATATTCCATTGTAATTAGCCAATCATGTTAAGACTGCCTATTGATTTGTTCATTTTGAATATTCGCTCACACACTTGTTCGGACATTTATATTTTTGCTCTCACACACTTGTGTGACTTTGATTCTCCTTGTGTTTGGAAAATAGAAGTATCATCGCAAACCTAGTGGTCTTCTGATTTCCGTCTTTCTTGCGTCAGGACTATTAAATTCTCGACCAGTACATAACACAACCCACAGTATTCAGATCACAATGCATATGTGATCTGGTTGACACAATAAGTGGCGACCAAGAAAACAAGAGTAGTAAGGCAGAATAGTATGTACTACTGGTTATTGATATGATTAGCTGAGAACCATCCGCATCAACCAGAACTACTCGCGCTAGCTAAATCGAAGTGATCTAAACGCAGAGAAGACTGTTTCGCTCGTTTAAAACCCGACTACTACTCATCAGCGATTTGCATCAGCTTACCATTTGCGTTTCTTTTGGTTTTTGATGGAGACCATGATGACTGTTTAGTTAGCTCAAACTGCATAATTCTATGTTATCAGTAACGAGTAGTAGTAGGGTATTGGTAGTTTGATCTGATTAGCCTATCTGAACTGATTTTTACTGGCAGACTCCACTAATGAGCTCTGTCCACAGGTGTTAAAATCACCTCGTTCTGGCTGGTTGGCTAGCAAACACTACTGGGTTGATGTGTCTAGTTTCCAACTTCTCACACCAATCAATAGTGTATGTGGACATACGGAATATATTGTAAACAAACTTACAGCACAAATTTTTGAACAGCTCAACATCTTGATCCCATAAATGATTAACGATTGCTGATAAAATTGTTCTCCAATCGCTGAGAGGCCAATTATTCACCAAAGTCAACCAATTTTTACACAACACACCATTGAACAACATGATAACGGAATTCAGACATGAAGAAGCTGTATGTTTGATAGGGAAATCATTTAGCATGGTTAATATCTTTGTTTGAACTTCACAAAACACTTGCGGCTGATCAGTTCGATGTGAATCAGCTAACATTACACCGAATACACTTAGCGTAGATAGATTTGGCAATGACAATGATGCAAAGTCTCTAGAGGCCAAAAGAAAAGCATTCAGAATAATAATAATAATATTGAATTACATACAATATTACATTAAACAGAGGAAGAATCAAAGAATACACGCATAAATGAGGTGACGAACGAACGAACGAATGCATCAATCACTTTGAAACAACCAGTTTAGTTTAAAATAGGGAATTTAAATGAAAGATGAGAATTCAAGACAAGTAATAATAATAGTAACCGAAGATACTCGACGATTTATTGCATTATCATTGAATTTTCTTTATGTACTTAGTATTCCTTTAATGGTTAAAATTAGTTTCAAGATTAATCACAAACTGACTGATATCGGTTAAAGAATCACCGAAAACTACCAAGGAGAAGTACTGGGCAGCTATTTCGATCTTGTTCGAAATTCTTAAGCAGTACCCACCTGTGACTATGACTCCAAGAAGGATAGAATCCAGAAGCTTCAGGTTACTACATTCCAGTGACTGAATGGCAAACAAGATATACTTAGTTCCTGAAGGTTCGATATGGATGGGAAATATCCATTTGGTACTTGTCAAACTATACCTTCTAAACAGAAGATATTCCTTTATTCCTTTAAGTTTATGCTGGTTTTTACTCGGCTCCCTGAAGTTTTTTCAGCTAGTTCTACAATTTCCTGCATGATCTCCTCCATGTCACCTCTGAACCCAGGAGCAGCGCACTGTTGCGCATTCTGGTTCCACTTGAGAGCCTGAGGCTTCTAACTATATATGTGTATATATATATTATTTATAACGTTGGATAATATGATCATGTATACCTTTTATACGTGACCTACATGAAATTTGGGTTACTGTTAAAACCAATCAAATTCACAATATTCGATGTGCACAGTTCGAGGGATGAAATTTCACCATAGTTCACAAAGTCTTAGTGTTCGTCGGTGGGAATTCGAACATCGGACTACATGTGTGGTTGGTGAGCATTCTACTGCGAAATGATCGACGCATTAAAATAACTAGTCAGAAGTCGGGTGTGCTTTGAACTCATTCGGCTCTCTCAGCTGAGTCAAACCACGTACACTACTGATGAGTTCGGTCACAAACGAGCGAAACGGCCATCCGGTATTTAGATCACCTTGATCTAGCTGGCAGTTGGTTAATAAGCAATACTTGTTGGTACGAGTGGGGTATACAACTATTCATCTCAAGCAATTAGTATTAGGCAGTTTTATGCAAATACAGTTAAAATACTCTCATTCATCACACACACATATACGCTACTTCAAATCAATCCTTTTGTAATGATTTCAATCAATCAAAGACGTCATGAAATAGTACTATTTTCACTCGTGCACTTTTTCGAAAAACCTTCACCCAATCACTTTTCGTATTCCTCTATAAATTTGCCAAAGGAGGTATCTATCTACTAGTGAGACAAACTGCAGATTTTGTGGTTATTTATCTTCTGATTTCATTTTTTAAAAAGGGTAAATTTTGTTGCCAAGGTTTCCATTCTGTATAAAACTATTGTTGAAAAGAAAAGGGATTGTTATTATTATTATAAGTAGTAATTTTAAGAATTTCTTATTTGGTGAAATCATATAGGAAGATTTATTGAACGTTATATTGTTTCATCATTTCTAATCAGAAACAGCAAGGTAGTTTCCTGGAGTCATTAAAAACCTCAATGGCATGTTTTAAAATTCAATATCAACAACAAACATCATTTGCTCTCATTGTTTATAACTTCACTAATATTTAATTGTTATTAATGTACTGTCATCTTTTCCTTTGATTGGACACTAGATAGTAACTGATGTCATGCGTCTAGTCCGATCTTTGGTGCAGACTGAATTCTATCAGTCAAGTTTGCAATGTGATCACCATGCTAGGTGGCTCTCCATCACGGTGCACTCTAGGTTGTTGTTATTAGATGCCTTGGACACCTGTTCGAACTCACCAGCCAGCAATTTTTTTCATTCCTTTACGTTCCCAAGTGGAACACAGGGCTTCAAGCTAGAGGCTTGAAGTTTCAGTAGCAGTTGTGTTTATTTTTACGGGATGGGGTTGCTAGTCTCATACCCAACCTTCTCTCTTTACCAGTTTTATTACTGGCTTAGCGAGGTATATCTGTAATCTTGAAGGAATTGAGTCAAACTTGACCGATAAAACTCAGTCGGCACCAAAAAAATTAGGCACATTTTTTTTATATTTTATTTACAGCTTGATTCCACACCACATTTTTGGTACAAGTATGGAATTTTCAGCATGGATATCGGTAGCCCAAATTTTGCAGGCCGACCATAGATATCAGGTGTGCGTCGGTGCGGGCTCGAACCCCGGACCATGTGCATGGTCGGCGAGAGTCCTAACCACTGTGCCACCGACGCACATTACACTTGTGACTGCCTAGTGTCTAATCAAAGTATGCAGAACACTCCGGAAAGAGGTCAGTCGTCAGCCCGAATAGCTCAGTGGTAACGTCCCTGACAGCAACACTGGGAGACATAGGTTTGAATCCCAAAACGGATATAAGTTCCTCCGAGAGTACGAAAACATCATGCATATATATGCCAACAGTCACGAAACTTAGGTTCAAGGCTTCCAGACGATGTCCTCCAATCATCTAATACTGTTATCCTTTATTCAGTGAAGAATTTGTCACGAACGGAGATCAGTTAAAGAATTAATGAAAATCAAATGTTACTGGATAACTATTTGGTGATATTTTTTGAGATTCTTCAAAAGTTAACGTCTGTGATCCTACCTTTTACGATCGGGTTCGAAATTTACACTGAACTTAATCAATATCCACACAAAGCCTAAATACTTTAGGTATTATATAAGTAGACTAAGTCGATCGATAAAACTGTACCGACCAAGGTCGCTGAGATGTATCTAACGAAACTTGAATGAATAACTTTCTTGATGAAGAATGTTAACTGAAATGTGCTTAATGGCTAAACTTAAAAATTCCGTCTATTCATGAAGATATTGATTTTTGGACTAAGCCACGAAGTGTGTCGTAAATCGCTTAGCTGGTGTCCTCTGGATGTGGACCAGTGGTGGCCAAACTAAGACATGGCACCACTCCATGGAATCCACAACAGTTAGTTTAAGGCCACGTAGGAAGGTGTAGACTTCCTGACTGGTTGGGGTCCTCGGGACGGTAAAAACCAATGAGGGCTGGAGACAATTGGTGATATGGCTCAAAATCGTTCTCAATGACAGCGCAGATGCATCCACTCCTTGTGATTTATAGTACCCTACGAAACTATGTTGCTCTTCGCTATTACTATTCTCCTTTTGTCTCATGGCCCTTTCTACTGTCTCTATTTTGCATTTCTTTTACTTTCTTCTCTTGCTTTGTGTGCTACATGGAGAGAGTGTGGCAACTCGAACTGTTGCACATCGATGCAAAGTTCTATGTTGAAACCAGTCAGTCAGTCCTCTGGATGTGAAGGACCAGTAGTGGAAGAAATTTTATGTCATGCTATTTAGCTTTCCACAGTGACACAAGAGTTTTCACTCTATTGTCATTCCTCCACATTCTTAAAAGCCTCATTAATTCTCTTGTCTCCGAGTAAAGAGAAACCAACTACATACACACACAAGCACATGTGTATATCTATGGTTGCATAACTTCTCTTTTCTGCTTGTTATACATGATTTGTCTGCTGCTGTTTCAAGTGGGCCGCTACTTACGACTACTTGACTTCTGCTGTACACTGTATCGATTACAGTCGATACTGTGCTATCATCATATGATATGTAACCCTTTAGTTAGCTCTGTTCGCCTACACCTATATATATAATGATAGTCTTGTTTTCTAAATCATACATAACTAATGACACGTATATATTTATAACTAATCGATCAAAAATTAATGTTCACCAATCAAAAGAAAGAGGGTTTCGGAGAGAGAGAGAGAGAGAGAAAGAGAAAGAGAAAGAGAGAAAATGCAAGGTAAAAATGTTAAAAAAAGAATAGAAATAAAACTGAAATCCATTTCTGTTAGTCATGCATTTCAATGAGAATAAATAAATCCACATTGGAAAATGAAAAGGATGGTTATGAAAATAAAATATGATCACATAAAGTAAGGTTTACAAAATAACACACTTTCTGATTCTTTTGCATTCTAAATGAAACATAAGGCTTCAACTTTTTGAAGTTTGACTGGCAAAATGGTGTTTTACTGGATGGGGCTAGCTAGCCTCACTCCGAAGATTTGCTCCTTTTCTGGGCTTACACAACTGTCTCGAAAACTAGGCGAGGTTTAATAGTGTGTCACTGGTGAATCCAACCCAGACCTGTCGTGTGGTTGGTGAGCATTCTACTATCGAACCACCGAAACATCACAAAAATTATACAACGTGACATGACTAGTCCGATATTGCCCAGCCCAAGGTAGGTGCGCATTGTGGCTGTATGATCTTCGTCTGCATATACCAACCTTCAATTGTCACTTCGAATGCCATTAGACTCAATTACTTATTCAGTAAACAAATACGAAGTCAATCTGGACGAAGAATATTCTTTTCAATAATTTCTCTTCAGATTCTTACAACTCTAAAATATGATATTGGTTGTCGTTACGATAATAGTTTACGATAATAGGTATGCAGCGGATACATTTTTTACGTAGAATAACAGATTAGTCATGGGTGTCAAAATAAATAATATTTGTGTAACAAACGTACTAGGCTGAAATCGATTATAAAATATTGTGAAATGAGAGACAATGGCAATACAAAGTTCATTGGGAAGATTCGATAAGAAGAGGGGGTAAGACAACAAATCACCGAGCAAGCATTATCGACCAAAAAGGAGGGGAATGCGGTTTCGAATACAGCTTGCCTTTCGTCTAACTGAGGCAGGATGTAAGCTGTTCTATTTTCACATGAAGACAGCCTGCTTATAATTTCTTTGAAATCAAATCACTTGTCCTACAGTTTACTAAAAACATTTATTCAATAATATATAGGGAGTATTTATTTGAATTTTAGATTTTCCCGTCGATTTATTGGACCGAAGTGCTCGGTTTCAGGTTGACATGTCGGCTTCTTGTGCAGATGCCTCGACGATTTAATTGGTGGATTCCACTGCTAGTCACCATCCACCAATTAAATATATAGGCTATTACCTATATTTAAAGTCGGACAAACATCACAGACTTGGTTTGTACACTTCAAGAAGACCATATGACTGTAGCGTATAAACCCATGCTGCTTTTAATAAATTATATAAAGTCACTGAAACTGGCTGAGGCTATGTTCACTTAAACTAAGAATTGTACACTGCGTGTATTTGGAGGGAGATATTAAAGACCATATATCCTTTCTCCTTTGGGTGAAGAAAGGCTAAACATGTATCCACTTGATCACTTTTTGTCAACCTTCTGAAATGACTTATGACTTATTTATTCAAGCTTTTCTTTCATAACTATGCTCTTTCGCTTTTCTAATCGTCATACACTTCTCTTTACTCATTATTATTATTACTACTTTTATTAGTGGTAGTAGAAGTATTCAAAGTATTAATACTACTGCCTGCATAATTCACACACATTTTATCATTCTTTCGGTGACCTGCTTGAATCACTGGTCTACCTGAATTTCCATTCAACACAATGTACCAAATTTTCATCTGTTTCCTGTGGTTGTTTTACTCCTTCATACACGTCCTTAGGTCGCGAAATATACTCAGACATGTTTTTCTATTTGGCTTCTTACACCTGCTGTAGCGCATTTCTCGGGAACAGAAAAAAATATCATAAGAGACTAGTTTATGCTTCAGATCGAACAGCATAGCATCACATGAAATATACCATAGATTGCTATCAATACACATATTGACATAGACAAGATCTACGTATCCATAAGAAGGGAATCACATAAACAAAAGGCCAACTTTCAGGTCAAGGAAATAATCAACACCAATACAAGTGGATTAGAGGGTGGGAAAATACACAAAAACAACCAATCACGTTCAAGGTTATCAGGAGAGACTACTAATAAACTCGTGGAGAAGTTTAAAAGCTCACTGCAAATTGAAGTATGTGCTGAGGATGTTGTCTAGTGAGACAATGAAAGCTTCGCAACTAAACCATCCAGCTTAGAGAACACAACTACACCAAAATCATCCACTTGAGTTACAAATCTTCTCTATTATATGATTTATACAATGCCAACGTTTATGAATTTGTTAATCTATCCATGTAAGATTATATTAAAAGAAACGAAAAGTTGTGGGGTGACGTGAAGTTAACAGTCTTGACTAGCGATAATACAAGTTGAGATGCTTGTTATCCAATCGAAATACACCTTATTTACATTAGGACATGAGAGCGTCGGTGGTTCAGCGGTAGAATGTTTGCAAGCCATGCACATAGTCCGGGGTTAGATTCCCGGTCAGCGTACGAGCTTTCCTTCCCTTAGCTGATTTTAAACCCGACAAAGAGAAAAGGCTGGGTATGTGGCTAGTAACTCCACCCCATAAGAAAGACACCACTGTTACTATAACTTCAAGACTAAGGCTTGAAGCACAATGTTCCACTGGGATTACTACATGAAGAGCAGTTAATCTTATTTGAAGAACTCACCAATATATAGAGTAATTGGTTAAGTTTCCTTGTGAGTGAGTATGGATATGTACGTGAGGCGATAATTATGAACTTACGGATGTAAACATAACTGAATAGTAGTATGAATATCTCCTGTAACAAGACTTCTTTTTAAGGTCTCCAATAACTGGTCAGTTGTCCATCCAGTGAAATCTAAAATTTTAAGGGAAAAAGTGGAAAAGAGATTAGATTTTCTAAGAAATAGAATTTGTTAATTTTGTCCATGTGCATTGGTGGTAGAATGCTCGCCATTCAAGCATGTAGTCTGGGATCGATTCCAGACCGAAGTATTCCTAAATTTTGCTTAGTTTACTAACTATTAGTGTACTCAGAAAAAAAGAAGGAAGGTTGGGCGTGAAATAAGCGGAACTCCACCCCGCAAAACAACACCACCACCTCTGTAAGCATGAAGCTCTACGTTCCACACAAAAAGGGAATGAAAAAAAATGTACACAAAGAAAACAGAATGAATAACGAGAAAATTATGATAATATGGCCCGCAACAAGAGTTTCAGTACGGATTTAATGAACAAGGACAAATAATATACATAAGGTGAAAACAATTTTAAACGATGCACCGCGATTTCTATTGGATAGTAAAAACAAGGATTTGATTGAGGCAACAGAGAAACACTTGTTACAAACAAAGTGGATGAGCTTTCAATAAATAAGCTAACCACAATTCAATTTCTAATGAGCTTGGAACACGAGATTCCTGTCTGAGAGATCGGTTAACATGATGACAAAGAGTGGAGAAGGCGAAAAACACTACTACTACTACTACTGTATTACTACTAAAGGGTCCATCTACTGAAAGTCAACCTTTCCAGGGCGGTACACTAACTTCGACAGTTGGGCTTCCTCTAGGTAGAAAGGGAAATCCTATCCATTCTTTATGCTCTAGAATTCGGAGAATTTGCCGTATAGATACAGCAGCAAAGAACTGGATAACTTTCGCACAACTCATTTAAGTACTGGATTGATGAAATCAATCTATAATTAGACACTGATAATAGATGTGATCAATAAATTTTGATGGAAACGCTTAACTTACTCAAATAGATAATTCATGTGAAATATATTAGACCTAGTTAAGACTCAGTCATCCAGTATAGACTTTTCGTTTACCAGACTGATGCTTCGACTGAATGAAAGATCGGAGGCTGGAATAAACCCCACTGAGCCATTAATTGTTTATTTTCCATTCTTCGCATTCCGAGAGGAACAGAGGGCTTCAGGTTCTGATCTTTCAAGATTTAGAAGCGGTGGTGTTCACATCCAACTTTCCCTATTTTCCGAAATTTTTATCAGCTAGTGAGATTAAGGAATGCGTCGACTGCGAATCCAAACCGGACCACGTGACCGATTTGCGAGTAGTCTACCACTGAACCACTGACATAAAACATGCTATCAGGATGGGATGGGTGCATACAGGACTAAGCAAAGCTTATCTAATATAAAATTGTACTTTGCTACAGTGTAAAAGTTCTACTGATACATTATCAGACAGTTTAAAACCACCTGCTTACCTTGATGATCAGATTTATCATAGCCAAACAGTTTAGATAGCGATAGTTTCACAGATGACGGTTCCCCCAATCGAGCCTTGATTTAATAAACAAAAAGTATATGTATATATATACTACAAAAAAGGTGTTACGTACATGAAGATATTGATACGTTGAGACGACAACCCTCCTCTCTCTCTTTTGCTTCACGTTTGACAATGACATTCGTGTAAAACCATCGAACCCAAAACCTTTAATTTATAAGATCATAGGTCGTTTAGCCAATGGTTTACGAACTCTAACTTCTGTGAATTCACAATATTTTATGATAAAAGAAGTTGCGGACTAAAGGCAGATTTGAGATTTTCCCGAATAGACCGGTAAATATGTAGGTGAACTACCGTTATATATTTACAAATACTTAGAAACATGACAACGAATAACTGGTCACTTACTAGGCTTTAAGTTAATGCAGGAGTGGAATTTTGACATATACTACAAAGTTGGTTATGCGGTATTAATAACTGGATAACGTCTGAAGCACAATTTATTGCCCATTAACACATGATTTGATAACTTGTACCATGACGACAAAACTCATTTTTACAGATTATAAAACTCAACAACTCATTACAAGTTTATAGAACTACGAACTACCCACATAGTATTGACTGGAGAGACAAAATGTAAATAATGCTTTTTATCGGTAGACAGGTCTTTATCAGAATACACATCAGCAATACATTCTACTCATTTGTGCTTGAACTCAATGACTCGAAACACAATTTGCAAGTATTACGTGATGAGTCAAACATTGATTGCGTGAAGCCGGATAATTCTATCACTCATTTACCTAGGCTGAAGTAAGTGGAGCAGAATTCGAACTCAGGAAGCTGAATAATGAAGTCAATAATTCATATCCCCGTTAAATTCGATATCAACAGTGTGATCGGAACTCACGTCGAGATAATGGCTCGGGACGGGTTGCCTATTTAGTTTCTGGGATGGTGTGCATTTCCTGTTCATTGATCATGTTGGACCGAAATACTCTACATCAGTTGATGGGTCAGCTGCAAGTTTGGATGCTTCAACAACATATGAGGATAAATGTTATGTTATTTTGCTTGATAGTGACCACCAGTAGAGCAGTTTAATTGGCCTACAGCCACGCTCAACCTTCCGAACATCCAACACCTCCCTGAATGGGATATAGACACAGGTCCTCCATCCCTAACTGAGGTTACTAAAGCTGTCACCAATCTGAAACTAGGCAAATCAGCGGGACCTGATGGAATGACTCCAGAGGTATTTAAGTACGGTGGAGACAGTTTACTGTCTGCATTAACTGAGGTACTAGGCAGCGTCTGGGAATCAGAAGAAGTCCCATCGGGTTGGTGTAAGTCACTGATTATCCCCATATACAAGAAGGGAGACAAGTCTTCCTGTGATAATCACAGAGGGATTAGCTTGACTAATATAGTATCTAAAGTCCTAGGCTCAATAATACTGCGTAGACTAAGTGGTGCTCGGGAGGCACAAACACGAGAGAAACAGGCAGGCTTTAGACCAGGAAGAGGGTGTATTGATCATATCTTCACCCTCCGACAGATTCTAGAACATAGGAATTCCTACCGGCGTCCAACAGTCATTATATTTCTTGACCTAAAGGCAGCATTCGACTGTCGATCGAGAAGTCCTCTGGAGATGCTTGGCTGTAAAGGGAATTCCGAGAAAATATATTGCACTGATTAAGGCACTCTACTCGTACTCATACAGCCAGGTGAGGGCTTACGGCGAGCTGTCATCCGAACTGATGACGACCAGTGGTGTCCGTCAAGGACGCCCATTATCCCCTTTTCTATTCAATTTCATCATAGATGTGTTAATGGACTTAACCCTAGGTGACTTCAGCGACTCAGGGATTGACTTGCTACCAGGGAATAATCTCGTTGACTTGGAATATGCAGACGATATAGTCCTTCTAGGCGAAGACGCTGACGAAATTCAGAGTCTTCTAAACACCTTGAGCCGCAATCTACGAATGTTTGGCATGCGATTCGCTCCCACGTCAAATGCAAGATGATGTTACAGGACTGGACTACATCGACGCCTAGTTTAAAAATAGGAAGTGAAGTGGTAGAGCACGTTGACCGCTTCACTTATTTGGGAAGTACCATCAGCCCCAACGGGCTGATCTCTGACGAAATCTCAGCACGAATACAGGGGGCTCGTTTCGCATTTGTTAGTTTACGCCGACTCTGGCGTAGACAAGATGTTCGACTATCGACCAAAGGGCGGGTGTACTGCTCATCAGTCCGCTCCGTCCTCCTTTATGGTTGTGAGACCTGGCCACTGAGAGTGGAAGACATGAAAAGACTAGCTGTCTTTGATCATAGGTGCCTGCGCTCTATTTCCCGTGTAAAGTGGCATAATAAGGTGAGCAACATTGAGGTTAGGCGTAGAGTTCTAGGTAAACAGGGGAAATCAATCGACGAAGTCGTGAAGTTGCAAAGACTGAGATGGTTAGGTCATGTGTTACGTATGCCAAGCCATCGCCTCCCTCGACGAGCAATGTTAGCGGATATAGAGTCAGGCTGGAAAAAAGCTAGCGGCGGTCAAACAAAAACTTGGCACCAGTCAATGAAATCCACAACAGTTGGTCTAAGCCACGTAGGAAGGTGTTGACTTCCTGACTGGGGTCCTCGGGACGGTAAAAATCTATGGTTGGAAACAATTGGTGACATGGCTCAAAATCGTTCTCAGTGGCGCAGATGCATCCACTCCCTGTGACTTATGATCTCCAATGAAACTGTTTTGTTTTTCTTTATTACTCCTTTGTCTCACACCTTTGCTCACTGTTTCTATTATGCTTTTCTTGTACTTTCCTCTCTTGCTTCGCGTGCTACACGGAGTGTGGCGACTTGAACTTCCGCACATTTGTGCAAAGTTCTATGTCGAAAACAGACAGACAGACCAGTAGAATCTAGGATGCATACCTCGTCCCTATTTGGCTCTCGTAACCCAATTGGTCTAGTGCATAACGCTTTGACGACTGAAACGATGGGTCCTCGGTTCCAGTTTGCATAGGAACACCAACTCTCACTGGAAAATACAGGGACATCCAGTTGACAAGCCCCAGATAGGACAAAACGCACATCTTGGATTCCACCGCAAGTCATAACCCACCAAATAACATATTAATCCTCGTGCACCATCAAAGCGTACATACCAGTAGCTGACATTTCAACAGAGACCTAGGATTTAGATCCGATCAATCAACGAGTAAAATGCAATTGACGTGTACAAAATATAACTCAAACTTGAAAATACCTTGCAATGACTCTGAAGCCACTAAATCAGAGTCAATAAGCATATTAGGATACACAAATTTACCTAAATGTAAAATGGTTGACCCCACAAAGACGATTAGTCTAGAGAAAATCTCAGGAATACCAATGCATACACTAGTACACACACAGTCGCTTGATACGGTGAGGGACAGAACCACAGTTCTGAAACGTAATCCAGTTAGGTTGATCACTGAATCGTCGAATCTACACACACCATACACACTTGCAACAAGAATGATGCAACACAGAGATGCCGGAGATCTGGAAAACTCATAAACGAAAACGAAATCTAATTAAATCCCTTACCCCGTTGATCCGAGGCATTTGCTGACAACCTGGAAGCTGAACTGGATCTTCTGAAGGAAACCTTCATCCAAAATAGAAACCCACCAAGATTCAGCGACAAGAATATCAGACCAGAAGTTCAGAGGAATGAAATATCACTTGTTTTAAAAAAGATACTTTACGTGAATCTGGATTTCAAGGGGGACTTAGTCTGTGATATCCTCAAGAGAAAAATTTCAGCATCTTTCAAAACAGCATTCTTTGCAGCAACACTAAGAATAGTGTATTCCAGTCGTCTATTGGTATGCAGAAGCCTTAGGGACAAGATCTCACATCTGACTACTTCTATGTGCATATATCAGTCCACCTATTGCTGTGGTGGCCAGTTAAATTGGTCGTTCGATGCGTATCTTGTCGAAAAGCATTACTTACTTACTTTACTTCGGCTATCTCCTACGGGAGGATGAGCCGGCTTCATGAACGTCTCGAATCATCGCTGCCCAGGCGCGGCAATTTGTAAGAGAGTTCATGAAGTTTCATGGGAATTTGGTACGAGTGATGTCCCCAGCATCGCTCGGCCTTTTGTTTGAGAGTGCAGCTCTAGCCTTTACACAACCAAGTGTGACCTACAAGGCAGTAGGAGTGGAGTAAGGAGTCCACTATCCATTGGCAGCCGATGACCGGAGTTTGGTTCATACGCCTTTTTGAATGGGGCCAGACATCCAGGAAAACCAACAAGCCCTTTGTCCATACGTCTGCCGGTGAGCTCCAGTGAGCTTCATACGCCAATCGTTGGAGGTTTGGAATCAGGGTTTAGCCATCTCCCCTAGACTGTCATCCAATGGACAGTCAACCCGGTGGAGAGCGCCGGGCATCCGCTTTCGCCCTCTCACTTTGGTGAGAAACACCTCCGCCACGTGAAGGCAGTGAGTAGGACTTCCTCAGGAGAGGCTATGTAAGACGCCCGGTCATATGGGAGCATTTCAAGAGGTGTGCGGAGGAGTGGCCAACCCGCAGCGCAAGGCACCCACCCCCGACCATCTCGAAAAGCATTCGAGAACACTATTCCGCATGACCACAAATAGGCAGTAGTGACTCTATACGGAGTGCGATAATCGAAAACCTTGTCAGCACTAACCATTCCATCTCAACAAACGCCTCCTTCAAAGTAATCTACAGAGTCAAGGGTAGCCTACCAAAAGCAATACGCTTTCGTCTCCTTTGCACTGGTGAAGCCTTAGCAATTCAGTTGGAAAAACCAGAGTTATATATGCAAAAGTAAATCATCCAACCACTTCTACTATCACGGTAACTATGGTGTTGACTTCTGCTGACTCGATGTTTGTGCGCTTGTTTTTTTCTTTTTATAACTCCTTATAACATTCGTAACTTTTAGAACTCTTACGCAATCCCATATTTTCTTTCGTTTCTGTATGAATCCTAATTACAACTCACTCGTTAAACCTTTCATCCTATTACGTAACTGTATTACGCTTATTCAAGTTCTTTTATGCGTTGATTGACATTAATAACTATGTTTTTTTGACAACGCATCACCACTACTCTCTTATCAATCTTCAGCCCGCCTAGTTGCAATTTGATTGATTATTCATCACATTTTTTTGAAATATTTTGATGATGTTAACAACAATAACTAATTTTTGTTCTTGTCTGACAAAGCTAATGTACACACACGCATACAAATATATATATATATATATATATATATATATATAATTGCGATTGTACAGCTAAGTAAATGAATTCGTTGAAAAGAAACTTTTCACTGAACAACGTGTGTTGTTTTTCATTAATATGGAAAAATTGTTAATGTCAATTAAAAAAATCAAAGAATAGGAGGTGATAGAATTATGTGTCTCAAAAAGAGGTTATGTGAGTGGCTTGACATTGATTGTGAGCAGCAATAAATTGTCCTTGACACACCGTCATCAGTAAATACATAAATGATACTGTACCACTGTGTGCAATAAAAAAAAGTATCGTTCAACAATCACTTGAAATTTCATACCAAGTTAGCAATTAGTCAAACCTATTGAGTGAGGACTAGTCATACCACCTGGCTATTCAAACCCCAGTTGGCTGGAGGAGACTTTGAACCCGCGACCCACTCTATACGGATAGAGGTCAAAGGCACCCCTAGGTCAATGAACCACAGCTCCAACGTGTGTGTATATATGTGTTTTGTCAAATACATTTATTCTATGATGTAATCAATATAGAAAGATGAGATTTAGGAAAGCAAACAAACAGTAGTAATTACGCTAACAAGTGAACTTACATGTATTACATTCCATAAGTCAAGATAAGGCTGATAATTGTGTGTTTGTAACAATTGTTTAGCCTTATCACATACTGTTAATAAATATTCCATGGGACAATTCAATGCATTCGTGATACAGTCAATGAATTCTTGAGTTGATGAATTGTTGTCAACCAATTGTTGACTAACACTATCACCAGATGATTCAAGTTGACTCAGATCAATCCATTTAATACTGACCCAGTAGGCCTGTGATTCCGCAGGAATTGACTGATGCTGATGATCTGATGATGGGATTGTTATAGACTGTTGATGTTCACCAGTGGCTGTTGTTTCTGGTGACTTGGAATGATCACCCCGTTTTAGTGTCATTGAGCTAAGAGTACGCGTACGCTTTGTTGATAGTTGAGACAATGAGGAAAATATGACAAGTCGACCACCAAACTATAAGAAGAAATAAGAAGAAAGAGTGAAATTTCTTTTTTTGATAATATTATTTATTTAAAGCGAACTAATTTGGAACACATTTGTGTTTTGTCTTGCTGTATGTCGGCTATAAGGTTAATGTCATAGAATGTAAACAATATTATTAGATGATTGAAGGTAATAGGAAGGAAGTCCCAGAGACTTAGGCTTAATGGTTATTGGCGATTATAAGCAAGGCGTATCTGCAACCTGGAAGGAACTTATGTCCCCTCTGAGATTCGAACGCCCAACACCCAGTCGTGAAGTCAAAAACGGATCCACTGAGCTATTCCCGCTGAAGAATGACTGCAGGTGGCAGACTGAAAATGCACATATAATCAATCAGACAGTATTTCTTTAGCATTACGGTGTACCACAAGACGACTTGAGCAAGTTCAATTATGATAAGTAGTTAAACAGATTAAGAATTAACATTAATATAACCGAGGTAAAGAAAGAGGCTTATTTAAGACATATTTCAACACACAGTTTAGGTCTTTTGGCTACGTATAACCAGTGTTTCGGTTATACATATGTTGAGAAGACGTGAACTTTTAGAATGACCGAACTTAGAACTGAAGATAACTTTAAAGAATAAATCGCGTGAGTACGAATGATCTGAATAGAGAAGGTGTACACGAATGGAAGACTTCGTCAACTTATCTTCTTCTTTCATCAACCAATCTAGCTACGTATTTAGGAAGAATACGCTTATAATGTCTAGTGTAATCAGCCGTTTAGGAATATTTGAAAGAGTAGATGCACATAAAGATGGACATAAGCGGTAGTTGTCGAATTATGCTTCAAATTGAGCATATCAGGTTTAACTAAACAGCATAAAAAGAATGTTTTAATACGTTTAGATTGGTGGCTCTTTAATTACTCCAACGATAGTGTCAACTTTCAATGTTAAACTCATAAACAGTTCTTGAATTTAAAACACACAATCCAATGTTAGTTATCATTAGCAGAAATAGATTTATGTGCAATTCAAAACCCCAGTGGTACTCATTCACTTGAGGTTTGGGTGCCTTTATTTCAATGATTAAGAATACATAGCAGATTTCGTCACAAACTAAGGTCAGTCAAGGGTCATCGGAAATTAGGGAACACTAAATAGCTGTTTCGTCCTAGTTTGGTGCTCTTCAGTGCACGCAGCATGGAGTAAGACTACATAAAACAAGTTATCAAGTTGTGTGAATACATTGATATAATTATGGATGGCATTAAATTCTGCTCTAAGGGTTATCCAGTTTCTATACAGTATCCCTGGGACACTGAATTCCGGCCTAAATGGCTGAATGGTAAACGAACTTAGTCTCGTAACCTGAAGGTCCAGGGTTTGATCCCTGGTGAGGTTGTTGTTGGGGATTGTTGAAGAGTGACAAGCTACAACAAAACAACTACTCAGTGATCTCATGACGAAAATACATTGAAATTAATCCCAATACTCTACAAAATATCGCATAAACTGAGTTTGGTTGCACTGAAAATCCGTAGTTTGTTATAGGAAAAATAAACCAACCAACTTACAGCAAAATTAACCCCACAAGGCTTTTTTAACCAACATGGAGCAACACGTAGCAGAGGCATAGGCTAGAAAAATTAGTAAAATACAACAGATCACAGGGAATAAATTTATGTATTTATCATATTGATAATAAGTACTAAGAAATTATTCGTTTCGAAGAAAGGATTTCATTCAGACTGATGCTATCCAAGTGCTGAGCTATTTCACACAATGAGAGTATATAACCTCGCCAGATACTAGCTTGCTAGGCTACTAGCTTACTAGTTTTCTCGCCGGTCCCAAGCCCGGGTAAAGAGGGAGGGTTGGGGCGTGGTGCTAGCAACTCCACCCCTGTAAAACAACCAAATCGCTACAGAAACTTCAACGAATAAATATATTAAAAATTCTAAAAACATAAGCAATAGCCTTACTTTTCGCTGGAATCGGGGAAGTGAAATGACGCAGGCTGGTGAAAGCCTTCGGGAAGCCAGTCAGCCGATGTGCCTTCTTTCGATGAAAGCAAAAGTAAGGATGGGTACCTGGAATGTTCGCACAATGTACGAAACTGGAAAGGCTGCCCAGATAGCCGCTGAAATGAGAAGGTACAGAATAGAAGTGTTGGGAATCTGCGAGAGCAGATGGAACGGAACTGGAAGGTGCCAACTACCTACTGGAGAGACAGTAATCTATTCCGGCCACCTAGAGGACAACCATGAGCACACCGAGGGAGTGGCCATCATGATGTCACCAACAGCAACCAAAGCTCTCATGCAGTGGGAACCAATCTCCTCCAGGATAATGACAGCCAGGTTCAACTCAAAAGGAAGGAAAGTTACAGTCATTCAATGCTATGCGCCTACAAACGTCTCAGAACAAGAGAAGAAGGAGGCGTTCTACAGACAACTACAAGCAATAATGGACAACGTCCCAAATGGCGATATCAAAATCCTGATGGGCGACATGAATGCGAAGCTGGGGGGAGACAACACAGGAAGAGAACTCACCATGGGTCGTGAGGCCCTCGGTGAAATGAACGACAATGGTGAACTCTTCTCAGACTTCTGCGCCTTCAATGATTTGGTGATTGGTGGTAGTGTGTTCAAACACAAGGATATACACAAGACGACATGGATTTCACCAGATGGAAACACCAAAAACCAAATAGACTTCATCTCAATTTCAAGAAAGTGGAGACGGAGCCTACTGGACACAAGGTCAAGGAGAGGAGCAGATGTGGGTTCAGACCACTATCTAGTAGTACAAGGGACTTTCAAGGTGAAACTAAAAGCCTCGAGGATAGCTGGGGATAGGCCACAATGCAAGTTCAACACTCAGAAACTGAAGGACACAACCACAAAAGACACTTCACTGCAACTGTCAGAGCAAAGCAGGAAACACTACGCGACATCACTGAAGAATCATGCGTGGAAGAACATTGGAAGTCTCTGAAGGCGATTCTCAACGAAACGTGTTCAACGGTTCTAGGAAGAAAGAAGAGACAAGACAAGGAATGGCTCTCAACGGACACTTGGAAATTAATAGAAGAGAGGAGAATGGTGAAAGAGAAAATGATTCAATGCAAGGACGGACAGGAGAAGGAGACGATGAGCTCAACTTACACAGCACTGGACAAAGAAGTGAAGAACAGTGCTAGGAAGGACAAAAGACGATTCTACGACAACCCGCCACTGAAGCTGAGAAGGCAGCAGGCAAAAGGGACCTGAGGACACTATATCAGATAACCAAATCTCTATCCGGGAAGAGATCAACACAAGCGAAACCTATAAAAGACAGCCAAGGGAACCCAATTACCAAGGAAGAAAAACAGATTAAACAATGGGCGGATCACTTCAAAGGACTCTTGAACCGACCATCACCTGCAACCCGTCCAGAAATACCAACAACAGCGCGCACACAACTGCAAGTTGACACCAATCCTCCAACGAGAGCTGAAGTCTTGAACGCAATCAAGCTTCTGAAAGCTGGAAAAGCAGCCGGACCAGATGGAATACCCCCTGAAGCACTGAAAGCAGACCCAGAGACTACAGCAGACATGCTGACTCCATTATTGCAAAAGGTCTGGAAGGAGGGAAAGGTGCCTACTGACTGGAGGAAAGGTTACCTCGTGAAACTACCAAAGAAGGGCGACTTACGCCTCACTCTGCAAGAACTGGCGAGGAATCATGCTCCTATCGACGCCAAGTAAAATCCTGAGTCGCATCATCCTGGAGAGATTAAAGGACGCACTGGAGACAGAACTCCGACCAGAACAAGCTGGATTCAGGAAAGGCAAATCATGTACTGACCAAATTGCAACTCCATGCATCATCATCGAACAAAGCATGGAATGGCAATCAAACCTCTACCTCAACTTTATAGACTTTGAGAAGGCCTTCGACAGCGTTGATCGTGAAGTAATTTGGAAATTACTCGAGTACTATGGCGTACCCCAAATATTCATCAACCTTATTCAACAGCTGTACGACAACGGCACATGTCAAGTGATCCACAACGGAAAACTCAGCGAGGCGTTTGGAGTAAACACAGGAGTCAGACAAGGGTGCTTACTATCACCAATGATATTCCTAATTGTGGTGGACTGACTGGATTATGCGTCAGACAGTGGGAAACGAGAAGACAGGGATATCCTGGACCGACGTGAAGAACCTAGAAGACCTGGATTTCGCGCGTGGATGATTTATGTTTGATGTCACACAAAATCGAAGACTTACAAGCGAAAACCGACAAACTGGTCGAAGAAGCAGCCGGCGAAGACAGGACTCCAGGTGAACATAGACAAGACGGAGGTTATGAAAATAACCAACCAACAACAGCAACAACATCCAACGTCAATCACCATCAACGGGAGGGATTTGAAAGAGGTTACTTCATTCTCACTTATCTAGGGAGCATTGTCTCAACTACAGGAGGAGCGGACGAGGATGTCAAATCGAGAGAGAATCGGGAAGGCGAGAAACACATTCATCAACCTGAAATCAATCTGGAAATCTTCGTCACTCAGCATCAACAACAAAATTCGTCGGATTTTCAATACAAACAACGTCAAGTCAGTTCTTCTATACGGATCAGAAACTTGGCGGGTCACAAAGAATATTTCCAACAGCCTGTCGCAGACCTTTATTAACAACTGTCTTCGCTCTCTACTGAAGATCAGATGGCCGGAAAGAATCACCAACAAGGAATTATGGGAACAAACAAAGCAAGAACCAATCGCCCAACAAATATGCAGGAGAAAGTGGAGATGGATCGGACACTCGCTGAGGAGACCGCTGGGTGACATCGCGCGTCAAGCCCTCGAGTGGAACCCGAAAGGGAAGTGGCGTGTGGGACGTCCAAGGGTGACATGGAGGAGATCGTGTGAGGAGGAGTTGAAACAGTATGGACTAACTAACATGGATGCAGGTGAAAAGTGTAACAGAAGACAGAAGCAAGTGGAGACGTGCAGTTGAAGCCCTATGTCCCACTAGGAACCCAAGGGAGCAATAATAATAATTATTATTTCCTAGGGTTTTGTGTGGAATATAGGGTTTCAGCAACACACCTTCCTTTCATTCGGTCCTCTTTTCTCCCTTCTCAGCTGGTTCCACGACTGCTCATAAGCCTTCATTTCATCACACGATCTCTGTCACCCTCGAAGCCATTCTGAACTTGTCACTTCCCATTCGGGTTCCGAACGACAGTCTAGCGCATGACATCACTCAGCAGTCTCTTCAGTGTATGTCCAATCCATATGCACCAGATTTGCACATTTTTCAGGTGATAGGTTCTTGGTTAGTTCGTTGCTGGACTACATTGCCGCTCATCCCTTCTAACCCGCTGACTATTAGTATCGTGGCACCGAAGAAACCTGTTGAAAGTCCGAAAGACTTTTCGTAACGCGCACGCTAAGTCTCTGGGCCGTATAGAAGTACTGGCTGACGTGACATCAGTGCTAAATATCCGGATCGTGTTCTCTGTGTTGAGTGCAGGAGACTTCCCCACTAATTTCCGAGTAGTAAAGGTCTGTCTTGCCTTACCGATTCTGTCTTTGACATTCTTATCTGAGCTGTTCAACCAGATAAGTGAAAGAGGTGACTTTCTTCAAAATTTTCCCGTTGGTTTTGATTGATGCTTGTTATCCGTGGTTGATTATCTTCATCACCACCATCTCTATGTTCATTTGAAGTTCTGTCTCACTGATTCTTTTGTAAGCTTGTTTGTTTTTGCCTGCAGATCTTCGAGTTTAAGTGACACTAAATATAAATCATCCGCAAAGTCTGGATCTGACAACGTATTCTCGTCGGTCCAATGTATGCCCGTCTTCTATCCAATTTGGGTTTAAGATAAAACCTAGATCAACCCTCATTGCCTTATTATTCTCTATGAATGTAGAGATATGATGTGACTGAAAGTAAATGACATCACACAATTATTTTGAAACGATTTTCACAAATACTATGTAGGTGGTTGTTAGAACTCAGTTACCTAGGGAACAGATTTCTCATGTACCCGACTCTGAGATACACATACATTATATGAAGACTAATGACATCAACTAGTCACCGTCTTTGTCAAATAAAGCAGATATGATACGATTCCACTGCGGGACCAAAGGGGTTAATTTTAGTCCATATCATCTAACTATCTACAGGTATTAACTATTTTGGCAAGACAGGAGAAATCGATAAACAAGGAGACTAGTAAAGTTATGAATGTACGTTGTAAAATCTTCTCCATTTTATTGTAAATCATATATATCAAAGTATCAAATATTCTCGTGGAAAAATTTAGTGATCAAATTTTCACGACTTTGATTATTTTGATACAGACCTTTAAAGAAATAAGATCATGATAAGGCTTTAATGTGACACAAGTGGAAATCGACTCCTGATGAGTAAGGTGACATGTTATGAGTGACTCGTAAACAAGACATTTAACTCTAACGTAGATTAAGGGGTCAGAAGCAAGTGATAATAATGAAGTGATACGAAAATCATCAATTGGGTGGATCTTAAATTAAAATTTAGTAAGTAAATTGAGTGGCGAAATATAATTGACTGGATTTTGTACTGCTTAAATAAACTTGAGAGCAGACTAGATTGAGATCAGTGTCATGAGAAATAGGGATGCAATAGCAGAAAGGGTGGAAAATAGTAAGGTATTAAAACTAACAAAAAATTACCCATCAAGTGTTGAGGCAAATTAGGTCTACTGTAGCTTCAATGGCTGAACAAACTTCTTCTGTATACAGACTTCAGGACTTAACACGTGAACTGCGATTTGAAGAAGTTTGATTTGTACTCCATTGACAAGATTTCCAAGCATGCTGTAGATAACTCTGAAGTCGGTTTACGAGTCTGCTGGCATTGATGAAGGCTTATTAATGTGTATCTACCAGTCCATCTGCGCCTGTGAACTTAAGTATGTTGGCCGTACTCAGTGTTTGCTATACAAACGAGTCATAGAATATTTACCCTCATGGTTTTACAGAAGTAAAAAAACATCTTCTTGAAGTCTTATTCTGGAACTCTTGGTTGATTTTGGGCATCTACACAGTGGACGGAAATCTTTCCAAAATAGTACCAATTAAACCACCTCAAACCGCAGATGTTATGACAATTCACGTATTAAATCCTCAATTCTGTATACAGAAGCTTGTTCACAGTCACTGGACTTACAATACACCTCATTAGCCTCGAAATTTGACACGGAATATCTGTTAGTCTCAATTTTCAATTTAATTTTATTCCTTTCTCACTACTACATTTGCACTCCACATAGAACTGATCTTAATTTGATTCTTTTCAATTTTAGTTGAGCTCTACTCAATCTAGTCAGTTATATTACGTCACTCAATTCACCTATTTAGTTCGATTTTGGTTTCGAACAAATTAACACTTTCCGTATTACGTAATTGTGATAAAAAATCTATGATTTCAGTGACATATATTTGGAAACATTTTTTGCCCAGAAAATTTACTATATATATGCAACTTTACAACTTGAGAATGATAACACTGAAAAGAGTAACTTTCTGCTGAACGACTCCTTTTTGAAGTATATATAGATCAGGAATCAAACATGGTGCCTATTGAATGACAGTTATTAGAAAATAGCTAAATACCTTTAAATGCATACGTACATAGACACCTACCTGAGGAATTGTATGAATGATCGGTTTCATAGAATAACTCGAATCATTTGATAACTGCTCGATCAATGGATTAACCATCTGTTGGTCGTCTGTAAAACCACTCCCACTACTGCCAGTAATTCCACTATTATCCATTGAAACAGGATATAATGAATCGGATTCATTAAGAGCTTTATTCTCGTGTATATTATCATCCAAAGTGATCAATGACTCACCATCATTGAATGCCTCGGCTACTTTATGCGATGTACGCATACTTTGAGAATTTCGGGCTAATTTACATTGTTTAGCATAACGTTCAACATTGACTTGTTCATGTTGCGGATTTTTTTGATGCGTCAATCCACTGCTTAGATTATGTATAGTTATCCAACCGTCTGATTGTGTAACACACAGTAAATTTGGATAATTTGGTACACAGTGAACTGACATATTCGTTGGCAAATCATTAAAGCATAATCCACTAGCCAACTCTTGATCTTCTAATCCTTCTAGACGACTAATAAATATCGGTTGAGGAGTAGCTATAAGAGGGAAACAACTCAAATGAAATACCCACACAGATCGGAAAACATATTTTACTATTTTCAATTCTGTATACTCTCAATCAATATCAAACATTTGACTTGGTGTGTCACTAAAGACATCTCCAACAAACTGTTGCAGACATTTACCAACAACTGCCCTTGTTCCATACAGAAGATAAAATGGCTCATCCAAAACAGGATAAACAGAAAAGAACTCTGACAATGAACCAATAAAGAACTTATCAGTTAACAAATATGGAGATGGCTTGGACATATACTGAGGAGACTGTTGAGTGACACCATACGCCAGTCCTTTGGGTGGAACTCGAATGGAAAACTACGAGTTGGGAATCCATCCATCTGAGGATGAAATGGAGAAGGTCGTATGAAGAAATGTAAGTTTGTGGGAAATCATCGGGTCGGATAAAAAGAACTTCAGGGAACGGGACGAAGTGGAGACGTGCCGCTGATGCCGTGTGTTCCAGTCGGAGCAGAAGGGAAACAATCATATGAAACTTGAGTAATATATTACTAGTTAATTAGTCATAATGAAGTTTTTGCTTTGATAGTAATAACAGCCTTATTTCACACATATTTATATACAGTACAGAGTTTTCAGCTTCGTTTTATATACTACTTATACAGAATCTTCAGGAAAAGCACTACTCTACATCATATCGTTTGACGGAATTTTGTTCTATCTCATCCCAAATATATTTATCTCTTCAACAGAAAAGGACTAAGTGGTATGTTGAAAGCCAATCAAAAATGCTTGTGAGTACAGACGGTAGTTAAAAAACAAGGTATAACTTAGCAAATTGTGCTCTGTGTAAAATTTGACAGCCCAATAATTTAAGCAAACCCACTTAGTTGGTTAATAAATTCTACTATTGCGATTCCCTTTATCGTGTCTTAGAGCGGAAATAAATCATCGATACACCTTTCTGACGACTGCCAACACACAAAGCACAATACCTATGTCTACAGGACTTCCTGCAGCTTGCCTCCAACCATCTAACATCATATTTTAAATCATTATTGATTGCCATATTAAACATTATGAAGATAAATAAACTGAACTGCACAAAAGTAGTGCGGCAGTTCAAGTCGTGCCACACTTCATGAGCAGAAAATTTCATGGAATCAAGATAGATGAAAATGTATGAGTGGGAGTAAATACGTGAAGAACAATAAGAAATCAATGAATTTAGAAGACCACAATGAAAATGAATACATCTGTGCCATTGAAGACAATCTGGAACCATATGATCAACAGTCTTCTAGCTGTCGATTATTAGAAGTCTGCATCTCCTTAAGAGGTCCGAAACCAAAAAAATGAATTCTGAAAAAAGCTTCCACGACTGACAGTTAATATAAACAGTTCTTGAATAGTCCTTATCCAGGGCACTGATAAAACAAAACAAGTGATATCTAACGAAGAGGTTCTTTTTGGAGAGCTTATTTTCCTCTTTAGTTGTACAATTGCATCGAAACAAGACGAAACGCGCGTCAGCCGTTTCACCACAAGCCTTCACTAACTAAGTAACATAAATTATAATGATTCAAGGATCAATTGCAGTGTCACTTTCTTAATGTTACGTTCGTTCTTTAATTGGACAAGTTAAAATATCATTCTCATTTTATCTTGACTGTTATTGATTTTTCGCACTGAGTAACTTTTCTCTAAACTACAATTACATTATTAATAAATTATAAACTTCTTACATTATAGACACCTAGAGATATGCCACACAAAATCTCACAGTTTGTGCGAGGACTAAAATGCTGACCGGACGCCTAGACCGAAACAGATGGCCATCTTCAGGGGCCATCACCCGGGCCTCTGAATCGGAATCTGATTCACAACTCAGTAAAGCAGCTCGACGAACCACATCCCCATGATTGTCGGTAACAAAAACAGGTTCGTATACCCTTCAATCCTTTCGGATTCTGGAGACAATCTACACCATAAGTTTGGAATCACGATTTTTCAGCTTCCATGAGTGGACTTGCATCTCCGCCAGTTAGGATGCAGGCGTTGGCAAATTGTTCAAGTCTTGTACATCAATTGTTAAGGGTAGTACGACGCATCACAATAATAATCATAGCAACGTAAAACTTGGCACACTTACTTACTTTACTTTACTTCGGCTATCTCCTACGGGAGGATGAGCCGGCTTCATGAACATATCGAATCATCGTTGCCCAGGCGCGGCGATCTGATGCAAGGTTTTGCGACAGAGTTATCCAATTCTTGTTCCACAGACGGAGTCCGTAGATGGTTTGTAGCCCCAGGCACTCCATATCAGCCTTGACTGTACCAAGCCATGTTTTCAGCTGTCCACCCCTGCGACATAGCCAAATTACCGGGGACACCGTTGCATGGTGAGAGTTGTTTATAAGAGAGTTCATGAAGTTTCATGGGAATTAGGTACGAGCGATGTCCCCAGCATCGCTCGGCCTTTTGTTTGAGAGTGCAGCTCTAGCCTTTACACAACCAAGTGTGACCTACAAGGCAGTAGGCGTGGAGTAGGGAGTCCATTATCCATTGGCAGTCGATGACCGGAGTCCGGTTCATATGCCTTTTTGAATGGGGCCAGACATCCAGGGCATCCAATAAGCCCCTTGTCCTTACGTCTGCCGGTGAGCTTCATACGCCAGTCGTTGGAGGTTTGGAATCAGGGTTTAGCCATCTCCCCTAGACTGTCATCCAATGGACAGTCAACCCGATGAAGAGCGCCGGGCATCCGCTTTTGCCCTCTCACTTCGGTGAAAAACACCTCCGCCACGTGAAGGCAGTGAGTAGGACTTCCTCAGGAGAGGCCATGTAAGACGCCCGGTCATATGGGAGCATTTCAAGAGGTGTACGGAGGGGTGGCCAACCCGCAGCGCAAGGCACCCACCCCCGACCATCCTGGGGCTTTGGCACAGAAATGCATCAGTTTAAATATCCCTAATTTGAGGAGGGGAACGTAAATGTCTGGATACCCCTATGGACAGGCATGGATGTGAGGCAGAGCGAAATGAAGTCAAGACCAATTAAGACTTTCCTAATCTAGAAGGTGCTATGGGACGGATTTATTATTGTAGTGGCTTACAGTACTAGGAATTAAATCATTGATAAGAATAACAGAAAAACAACATAATTAAAAAAGAGGAAGTTGGATAATTTATAAACACACATACCTTCATGAGATGTGTCAGTATCCGGTGAAGAGTTCAGTGCCTGATCAACACTCCAAACAACTAACATTTCAGCATAGGTTGGATTCAGCTTAGTACCACATGTACCACTTAATGTAGGTAATGCCCCGGAAGCACCAATCACTGTCATTATCATATCGGTATCGTATAAATGTGATTTATAATTCGTTGACTTTTGACACTCTGGTATACCCCAACATAATGAATTCACTGTCCCAGCATTGCCTAATGGAAAACCAGCTAGTTGACTAGTTGTATGAGATGCTATCGGTGGCCAATGGCCAAGCAAAGCAAGCATATGCTTTGGATAACGAAGATCCCATAATTGTATATCAGCATTGGGATTATTTGGATCTGTTAGACACAAACGGGTTGCAACATCTGGACTCCAGGCCATAATTTGAGGTTCTAACTATAGGAGGAATAATTATATAAAGGAAAATGAGGAAGATTTTAAGACGTATTCGTATGAAAGAGGTCAGTGATGTAATGAAGGTTTTTTCAAGAAAGAACATCAGTTAAAGATCACTGAAACCATCATGGAGAGCTGGAAAGTTTCGTCCTGTTATGGGACTCATCATCATCGCGTAAACAATCCCACCAGAGATGGAAACCAAAGTGTTCAGGTTAAAAGACTACGATCATCGACCATTCAGCCACCTGGGCCGGAATTCAGTGATGCGTGAATTCTAATTTCTACCAAGTGGTGATATGGCGCTACCCTCAACCAATGAATTCGATAAACGTCCACTCCACCTTGACACGGTGGATTCTACTGGTCAGGACCTTCCAGGACAGCTACAAAAACATCCGCGCAACAGCCACCAATGAGCCAGAGATTGCTATTCAGATTACATGTTTCGTAGGAAATTGGATTAATTTCTTAGTCTGAAGGTCCCAAGTCCGACCTATGGTGGCGCTGTGAGTGTGTACTGACGAAGAGTCCCAATCGAGGACGAAGCAGCTGTCCAGTGCTCCCCGGTGGTTTCCAATAATGTTACTTCGTGACGAAATTCACATTGAAATTAATCCAAGTTCCTAAAATAGGCCATAATATAAATCGATTCTTTCAAAAGAAATAGGTTAATAGAATTGTGTGTTCGTTTAAGACTAACGGGGAAAAACAAATTACCTGACACATTGTTTTAGTTAATTGTAGAACTGGTCCACTTTTACGTAAATCCCATATAACACAACGTCCAATACTTGTTGTGCATAATATATGCTGAACACGTGGATTCCATGCAACTTTATTCAAATTTTCTACGGGCTATTAAGGAGGAGAAGAAGGGAACGTTATGACTAACAATCGACATTTATGTTTTCTTAACGCTGAATAAAATAATGGTGATGTGTTGAAATTAGGTGGTTAGAAGTTATCGCTATTAAGTCTCGGATTCGAATATCCTAGAAGAATGGATACACATGATGATGAGTACAAAGAAGTTAGAAACCTGTGTACTGGACTTCTTACTGACTGCCTTCAACCAATCAACATCAATTCAAAGTGCACTGCAGTGGCGAGTTACCTAGTTTGATGATATCATAGCAAAAGTAACTCATGTAATTCAGTCAGCACCAACACTAAGGATTACAGATATGAAAATGGTTACACCTTAGTGATCAATCAATGTATATTGGCAGGTACGATTGAGAGTGGGTAGACTTCGATGTTCCTCTCAAAATCTTCACATGTGGCGATGCATTCATAGCCCCTTACCAGCTAAGCTATATTCACTGCCTTCATGCGGTAGGGGTGTCCTTCACAAAAATGAAAGGGTGAATGCAAATATATGGTGTTTACAACCGGACTGGGGATATGTTGGTCTATCTAGAAGAGGTGGAAAACCCTGATACCAAACCTATTGTGTACATGTACTCCAAAACCTAAACGGATTGAATGGCAATAAGGACGCGGAACCATTGGAACGCAGCTCCTGACGCTGCACCACTGTTTCGTGGATCAGACTTCAAGTGAAACATAAGACAACCACCTGCTTCCGTCTGGGCATCGGGGCAGTATCCTAGCCCTCACACAAATTGTGAGACAACAATTTCATGAGATATTCTAATTGCGCGGTTACCGATACAGATGGCGATCATACTTTTAGTGATCTGATCCTTTTTGACTTTATTTTTGTGTGCAGACGTTTGTGTTGTATTTTTTACCGGATTTGTTATCACTTTTGTTTGAAATCTCACCTTATCAGTAGCGCTTTTCGTTACTAGTGAGTAGCCTTCAAAATGCTGATCTCCAGTGAGATAACATGGATATCCTAATACCGTTCAAGCTTGCCACCTACAATGTTCGTATAATGATGTAAATAGGACAACAGACAGATCTGGCCAAAATATTAGAAAAGTCTCGCTATCGATATCTCCTGCAATTCATGATTTCAGTGAAGTATTTCGAATATCTTCTCCATCTGCTAGTTGAAATAACGTGTACCACCTGTGCTTATCTGGATACCCGGTGACATTGGTATCCGGCTTAATTGGTGTCAAAGACGCACTGAGCAACAAAGATGAAGCGGTATTAGTCAACTGGATCTGAATTAACAGTAGCTTATATGCTGTGAGGCTAGAAGGTTACCCCAAAGTAAGAAGTTGTTGGTCAGACAGGTTATATCTTTTTGTCATTTCTGCTTATGTACCAACAGATTGCAGTCCAGATCCAATTAAAGATGAGTTTTACTATCAACTGAGCCAGCTACTGAAGCAGCGCGTCAGAATGATATCGTAGTACTAATTGGGGACTTAAATGCACAAGTTGGCGTCTGGGCTCAGAAGCGAGTTATCTAGGTAGTTAGCGGGGTCTATATGGTCGCAGGTTGCATAATGGAGACTGTCTTCTGAAGCTTTGCGCAGACCACATTCTATTTCTAGCCAACAACAACTGCCAGTACAGCCATCACCGTAACGCTACCTGATGTTATGCCTTTGCACAGAAGTGCAGTGGTTCTGTCTGTCACACTTCATGTAGTACAAAAAAGTACAGGAAAGAAAAACAAAAGAACTTCAAATGAACTATGAGAAACAGAATCGTACGGGAGAATGGGTAATACCATGGGAAAACATTAGCACCAAATGTCAAGTAGACTACAAAGAGTGAATGCATGAAAGCCACTGAGAGCAATTTTAGGCCACATCACTAACGGTCTCCAATCATTGATTCTTAGCATCTCGATGACCACCCAAAAAAGGAAAATGAGATTTACCTCAACAGTTTCCCACTAAGCAGTGATTTATAAGGAACAAGTCTCCCACCCACCCACCCACCTCTCCCAACCGCTTAAACACCATCACTATAAAAGCAAAATAAAAATACTAGAATTTTGTTAATAACACTAACTTGTATTTTCGCCCCCGGTGACATTGGTTGTTCCATTTTTTCAATGTCCCATATAAATATTTCATCATCGTTAGACACAGAAGCGAAGAGATTTGTCTATGCAAATTTAAAAAAGGTTTAAATAGGGGAAATAGTGAACTGCAGAAAATAAAGCGACATGTTAAACATCTAGATTTAAATTCTGCAATGGTGTCAGAAGAGAAATAAATTTCACTAATATTTCGTTTAAGCATACATCTTATCGATGATACTACATATAATCCTAGCTTAGATAGAAGAGAAGCGGTAGCGGTTTATTGGTAAAGTTCTCATCAGCCATGCTGGAAGTTTGAGTTCGACTCCCAAGCAGTGCGCACCTGAACCTTGCCTGGCAGGTAGTAAGCCCGGAAAAATGGAAGGTTGGAAGTGAGGCTGGCAACCTCACCTCGTGAAAAAAATACCGCCGCTATTTAAACTTCAGAGCTCAGAACCCTATGTTCCATCCGTAATGCAAGGAATGAAGAGAAACAATATCTCATTGATGTGGAATAACAAATTAGAAACTCAAGTTAGACAACACTAGTGACTGTTTTTATAAACATCTAAAAAGTTTCAAGGAAATTCTATGTTCAAAATAAAAGTAATACGTGATTAATGCACATGAAAATCATAGTTTTCTGTAGGGATTCGAATTAATTTCAATGTAGATTTCTCCATTAACCAACACCAGTGGGAGAGATCATTGAAAACCACCGGGGAGTACTGAACAGCTGCTTCGTCCTAGTTTTGGGACTCTTGGTCGCTGTGTACCAACAACCAAACCACTGAGAATTGAATTCAGAACCTTCAGGTTACGATATCAAGCTCGCTGATTATTCAGCCGCTTGAGCCTAAATTCAGTGACCCATGAATTTTAACTTCTGTCGATTTTTGGTACACCGCTTCCCTCCACCAATGCCTTAGATGGGCATCCACTTCGACTTGACATGGTGGACCCCAATGACCATGCCTTCTTTACACACATCGTCCGAACATCCATCCAGTTGCTATTTTGTACGGACGAAACAGCTGTCCAGTACTCTCCGGTTTCCAATGATCACTAATTGATGTTGTTTCGCGACGAAATCTACTTTATAATTATTATTATTTATTTTTGATTTTTGATTTACAGCTTGATTCCACACTGTATTTTTGGTACAAGTATGGAATTTTCAGCATGGAGATCGGTAGTCCAAATTTTTCAGGCCGACCATAGATATCAGGTGTGCGTCGGCAGGGGATCGAACCTCGGACCATATTCATGGTCGGCGAGAGTCCTAACCACTGTGCCACCGACGCACAATTAATACATGAATGTATGTGTAACACTTTGACACTGTGATAGTAATTTTATTTTATACTAACTTGTTTATTGGATACCAAACACACACACACACACAGAGGGAAACAGTATTATATACTGAATGACGAAATTCCGAACGCAATTTACTGTTCATATTCATATCAATTGTGATACAATAAAATACAATTATTAATACTTTTCGTATGCAATCACTTAGCCTTAAAATAAGAAATAACACGAGTGAGCTTTAAATACATTTTAACATATGACAATTATGAAAACTAATGATGAAGTAGAGTCAAAAAAATGATGATTAATTAAGTTAGGTTTCCACAGGGATTCAAAATAAGCCAAGACGGGACTTCAGGTGAACACAGAGAAGATATAAGTGTGAAGACACACAACCAACGAGAACAACAAGCGCCAATCACCATCAACGGGAGCAGTCTAGAGGAAGTCATCTCTATCACATATATAGGTAGCATCCTTTCAACTACAGATGGAACGAATTAGGACGTTGAAACCAGGATGGGAAAAGTACGACTGGTGTTTATTACTAAGAAATCAGTGTGGAGATCTACTGAACTCAGCATAAGGGGCAAGATCCAAATTTTCAACACTAATCTCAAGTCAGTTAATCAGTGCTTCTATGTGATTCAGCGACTTAGCACTCAATTTACCAAAAAAATTTCAACAGACTACTGCAGAACTTCATCAACACCTGTCTTCTCTCGATGATAAATATCCATCGGGGAACACTGACAGTGCAACTAACGAACCAAGAAGCTGGGGCCAATAAATTTGCAGAAGGAAATGAAGATCGACTGCACACACGCTGAAAAAACCATTGAATGATGGAGCAGACCAGGCAGGCCTTCTAGTGGAACCCGAAGAGAAAACAACGAGTTGAGCATAGATTCAATGGTGACATGGAGGAGATTATCTGTGGGGGGAAACGAAAGTTTATGTGCAATCGTGGAGAATAGAGTGAAATCGCCCTATATCCTAACCCAAGGGAATAATGACAATATAGTAATCGGTCAACTTCCTTATAAAAAAGCATAATTCGAAGCAAGCCGATAAACTTCGATTACACCCAAGTTTATTTATTTTTTCGATTACATATGGCACAAATAATTATCCATTAATATTAAAGTAAATAGATAAGTAATTACTTGAAATCGATTGAAATCTAAACTTCTCACAACTCCATTATGAACATTTTCACGTGAAGTATATATAAAGCTTGATAAGTCATTCTCAGCAATAGTAATAGAAGGCTTAGTTGTATTCCACTTGTGCTGATCCCCATTAACATGATGATGAATAGTATTCTCATTAAAATCAATAATATTTTCTTGATTATTATCATCAATCAGTGATGACTTTTTATGTTGATGATAAGTAGAAACAATTTTTTGACTATTATATAAATATAAACTTCCTGTAATTGTCCCGTAAATAAGAAGACCAGTCTCCAAATCACCTATTGGTGCTGTCCATAATAAGCATGTACCTCTGAGGAGTATAGATGAGAGAGGAAAAACATAAGAAGGAAATGGCATTTATAACAGCTAGAAATAATTTAATAAAAATTTTAAATAATTGTACACGTGTACACACGTATATTTATTCTTAAAATGAATGAGTTGATTTATCTTTCCTACTGATCCATCATACTAGACTGAAACGCTAGATCTCTGGGTCAAAAAGTCACCTCCCAGTAGGGATGCTTCGGCAATGTCCGAGGATCGACGTGAAGTTATCTTGATTAGTGGTGACCAGTAGTGGCATCAAAAAGATTCTCGTCTCTTCCTTGTGTTTCCCGTTGATTTATTGTGTTAGATTGAAATCCTCATTTTCTGTATTGATATCGAACCATCGACTCCAAAAGAGGAAAAAACATGTATCCATTGGATTGGGCATTGAAGTCACCTGCTAAAACAACTAGCAGGCGACTTCAATGCCCAAGTAGGGAGGTTGTATGTAGGTGGTACGTATGGGGTTCCCTGTCAACGAACCGACAACGGTGATCGTCTTCTACAGTTCTGTTCAGATAATCATCTGTTCCTAGTCAGCACTAGCCTTAACCACAAAGAGACACTGCATAACCTGGCGACCTCCATCACCAAATCAACGCTGGACTCAGATAGACCACATAGCCACAGGGTATCGCTGGCGAGGGTCAGTAGAAGACTGTCGCTCCTTCTGGAACACGTGTGTAGACTCTGATCGCGCCCTGGCTCGCGCACCTTTATGCTTACAACCAAACGGATATAAGAAATTGCTTGCAGCGAAACAGTTACGTCCCCAACTAGATCGAGACACTGAGTCCCTATTTAAGGAATAAATAGCGAAACGAGGACTTCTCCTGAGGTGGTCTGGCATAAAACAGAGTTAGCTATAAACACAGCTGTTAGAGTTGTAAATGACCTGAAACCTAAAGTTAGTAAGAGCCATTGGATCTCTACCGCCTCATCCGAACTGATTGACGCAAGAAAACTGACTCCGGTGAGCCCCGATTATGATGGGGAACAAGAGCTACTCAAAGGCAAACTAACAAGAAGCCATCGTAACGACCGTGAACAGTGGTCGGCGACAAAAGCGAAAGAGATGGAAAAGGCAGCGGCGACTGGTAACACCAGAAAACTATTTAGGTTTATCAGGGCAAATGATAAGTGAAACAATCTCTGAGTAAAATGGAATCATAATTAGCTCCCAGGATAGACGACTGAAACGCTGGAAAGAACATCACGAGTAGCAGTTTGATTGGAGGGGACCTCCTCTGATTCCCGTCGGATTGGTGTAAGTCACTGATTATCCCCATATACAAGAAGGGAGACAAGTCTGTTGTGAACTTTTCTTATAATACGTATCTAATCATATTCATATCTCTACCGCTATTAACACTCTTTTTTCCCTTTATATGTTTAAGCCATTTCGGCTTCATTATAAAATGAATAAAGCCTAAATTCTTGGTTCATTCGTCTTTTCAAGATTCAAGCATCACTCATCGTTCTAAGACTCAATCACCTTCGTAACAATTTATTCATTTTACAATATTCATGGAACGATTTTTCCGACCTGACCGGTTCGACGTAGAACCTAACGCAGTTGGAGCTGCCAAGAAGTGGGATCATTGGTTTGCGACTTTTTCCTACTTCATTGAATCAATGGGATCCGAAAATCCTTCGAAACTACATATTCTCTTCAATCATATTTCTACTTCTGTATACGAATGCATTTCTGAATGCAAAACATACGAAGAAGCTATCGACACTCTCAAAAGTCTCTACATGCAGCCTTGCAACGAAGTGTTTGCTCGACACTTGTTAGCAACGTGTAAACAAGAATCTGGCGAAAATCTGGATCAGTTTGTTCGTCGACTCAAGTCGCTGACTACAGATTGTTCATTCAGAGCGGTTACAGCCGAAGAACATCGTAACGAATCTCTACGTGATTCATTCATCTCAGGTATACAGTCTTCGATGATACGCCAGAGGCTATTAGAACAGCGTACTTTAACTTTTCAAGCGGCATACGATCAAGCACGAGCTCTAGAGATGGCACATCAACAATCGCAGTCATACAACAATCCTGTTACACCTTGCGCGTCCATTTCTTTACATGATGTACCTCATTCATCAGATTCCACACCCTCCGTCAATGAAACAACCATTGCTGCCGTTGAATCCAAATGCTTTTTCTGTGGTAATCGTAGACATCCTCGTTCCAAATGCCCCGCCCGTGATGCAGTTTGCAAAGCTTGTGGCAAGCAAGGACATTTTCAGAAGGTTTGCAGGTCTGCGCCATCTACGAAAAAAGGTCCATCTTCAGTTAACTCTATAATTTCATCTCTCGTTGTGGCTTCAGCACCTCAAAGTCTCACTGATGCTGTTACGCAGCTTACTGCCAGTGGGAAATCAATGCAAGCTCTAGTGGATACCGGAAGCAGTGAGAGCTACATCTCTTCCTCAGTTGTTCGTAAGTATAACTGGAAAGTCCATAAGTCTCGAAACAGAATCACAATGGCGAGTACGAATCTTACTAGTCATACTGAAGGACATTGTCTTCTATCCATCTGCTATAAAAACCACACTTATGATCTATTCAAATTTTCCATTCTTCATAATTTATGTGCAGACGTCCTTCTTGGACATGATTTTTTAAAACTTCACAAACACATTGAGATTCCTTTTGGGGGATCAAAGCCTCCTTTTTCTCTCTGTGGTCTACCTTGTGTTCGCGTCGACCTGCCTACTCTGTTTGAAAATCTTTCAAAAGACTGTAAACCGATCGCGATAAAATCACGGCGTTATTCTTGTGAAGATGAAAGTTTTGTTTCCACCGAAGTCAACCGGTTACTGCAAGAAGGTGTTATTGAACCTTCTAATTCTCCTTGGCGAGCTCAAGTTCTTGTTACGTCAAAGAACGCCATAAAAAGAGGATGGTAGTTGATCATAGTCAGACAATCAATCGATTCACTTTTCTGGATGCTTACCCATTACCTAGGATTGACGAAATGATAGAAAAAATCGCACAATATGACATATTCAGCACTCTTGATCTGAAGAATGCTTATCATCAAATTGGCCTAAGGAACGAAGATAAACCATATACTGCTTTCGAGGCTTGTGGGAAACTTTACCAATATTGCCGAATTCCTTTTAGTGTTACCAATGGCGTAGCTTGTTTTCAACGCATTATCGATGAATTGATCAGTAAAGAACAACTCACAAGCACGTTTGCCTACATTGACAATGTCACTATCTGCGGCAAAACTCAGGAGGAACACGACAAAAATCTAAACAAGTTTATGGTAGCAGCACGCAATTATAGAATAACCCTTAATGATTCCAAAAGCATACAATTACTCGGTTATGAAGTTTCAAAGGGGGTTATTAAACCAGATCCCGATCGGCTAAAACCTCTTCGTGATCTAGAACCACCCACAGATATCAAATCTCAACAACGGGCCGTTGGATTATTTGCTTATTATTCACAGTGGATCCCTCGCTTCTCAGATAAAATCCACCCATTGGTAAATAATCGGATTTTCCCTCTTGATATCGAAACTCGAAATGCTTTTGACAAACTGAAAGACGACTTAGAAAGTGCAGTCGTTGTGGTAGTTGATCCGAAAGCACCCCTTGTTGCTGAAACAGATGCTTCAGATGCCTCAATTGCAGCAACATTAAAAAAGAATGGTAAACCTGTCGCCTTCTTTTCTCGAAGCCTCTCTCGAAGTGAGAAACATCATTCATCGGTTGAGAAAGAAGCCTATGCCGTGGTCGAAGCAATTCGTAAGTGGAAGCATTACATTCTCGGAAATCACTTCAAACTAGTCACTAATCAACGTTCAGTAGCATTCATGTTTGACAAGATTCATAAACAAGCAATAAAGGTTAATAAAGCAGGATTTAATGAATTCATCAAATTTCGGTAGAACTCGTCAGCTGAATACTCTACATACACGAATACATATACTTTTGAAATTACATTGGGAGATATAAGACTGATAAGTTGAATACTCTACATACACGAATATATATACTTTTGAAATTACATTGGGAGACATAAGGCTGATAAGTAAACAAACTACATTGAATTAATCATGCAGAGAGACAGGTGCGAATATTTTCCAGGTCATGTTCAAATAGATAAGGGGAGAGAGAGTATGAGAGATCAAAATTAAGATAAATTGCATTACGCTTCAATTACATCACTTAGATAAACAATTAGTCATTAGGGAATATAACTAGAATTGCAAACAGACTAATATCAATAGTAATAGTTATAATAACAATAATAATAATAGTGTTGAAGTGAGTTAAGATAATCTTACGGATAAAGCATAGATTTAAATGAATCAAGAATAATAATAATGGCAGTAATAATAACAAAAATAATAATAAGAAGAGGTAGAATAATAACAAGTAGAGAATAAAACGTATTACCATGGTAGATTAAGAGTTACGACCATCTCCTTTTGTATACAGAGAGCTGGTTTATAAATTCGAATTGCACAAGCCTCTGCAATTGCAAGCATCTTCTTGTTTCTTTGTTTGCTGACAATGGTAAATGACTTGACTGCGTCGATATCATGTCCGTAATCTACAAGATGTTTTGTTATTGAGGATTTTGGCACTTTGAACTCAGCTGTTTTCAACCATTTTGGCAAATGCTCCATCATGCGAGTAGACAATCGCCTTTCCGTACGACCTATGTATTTGCTGCCACAAACACACTCAAATTGATATATGCAGTTTGAAGTGTCGAGGATTGGCGACTGGTCTTTCCCAGATTGTTGAAGCACTCGCTTGGTGGTGTTAAGGATAACAAGTTTTGCAGCATAATAAGTTCTCTTGATGGCTTTGTCGAGTCTTCGTTTCACTACTTCTTGTACGTCATCTCCTTTGAACGGTAAATTGATATAAACAGGTTTCTTTGGAACTGTTTGAATCGTTTTGCGGGGGGTAGTTTCTTTGGAGTATTTATTAATGAACTTCTCAGGATAT